GCTTAGATTTGAGGTAAAAAACCGGATAAAGACCGGATAAGAGAACTCAACACCCAAAACTTAAGGGTAATTTGCATAAACGGTCACAAACCTTTGCACTTAGTACAAAACTTAACCAACTCCTCACCCTTTTAGGCCTTAGGCCACTCAAATTCCCACAATCTCAATATAAAATCAAGACCGAATTGGGACCGGACCGGGTCAAGACCGGACCGGATCAAGACCGGACTGTATCCAATCCAATCTTCGGTCCTTATATTTTCAAAAAAACCGGACTGGACCGGATCAATTTGGGCCAATTTAACCGGACCGGACCGTATAGCCACCCCTAAACACTCCGACCTTTGAGTTTAGGTTCGATCTTAATACGTGATCGGTTGAATTGACGGTTACGTACTAAGAGTTGCAACCGCGAATTAAGAATAATAATAATAATTAATAATAATAATTATTATTATTATTATATATATATATATTATATATAAGTCAAGATAATAAATAAAAGCCGAATGATGAAAACTGTTGCTCCATTTCAAATTTCCTGCAACGAGAGTGATTATAGGAAGGACATTTTAGTCTTCACAATTGCTTATTTATTTATTTATTTATTCATAAAAAAGGCATGCACTGGGATTTGAACCTTGGTCTCTTTAAAGGCAAGCAAGGATCATAACCAATCATACTAAGTATATTTATTGTATCTATTTAAATTCAAACATACACGAACCTAAATTATGAAAATCATATGACTTTTTTAACGATTAGTTGGCCACTGAATCTCCCGTAAGTACTTATTTGGTGTTTTAATACTTTGATTATTTTAGTTGTAGTTTAATACTTAATTTAAATTTCTATCTATTTTATAAATATACAATAACCCTAAAATTGCAGCCCAAATATCACTGGTTCGAATATTGCATATCGAATTGCAATATTAAACATGTAGAAGCAATATCGACTTCTTAAATTAATATTATTTTTCAGAATTACTATGGAGAAATTATATCTTTGTGCAAACTATATGAGACTGGTTCTTTTAATGTTTTAGTCGGGATAACCGCTACATTTTAAACTTCTTCATAATCTGGCATGATTGGATCCAATGATCATTATACAAGATTGTGTTTAATAGGGTGGCTCATTTCACCACTTTTTGGCGTGTTAATGAATTTGTAGGACAATGACAGGTCTACATCTACACTCATCACAATCTACACATCATATAAATGTGAAATGTGAAATGAGAAAATAGGGATTCCATTTCAAATTTGATGCGTACAGAGCAATTTTTTAGGGGTAAATTTAGAAGATGCCAGTGCGGTCGGTCTGTTGAGCACGAAAGTAAAAATATGTTTTCATTTAAACGGGCCCAAACTGTTATTTGGCCCACTAATCGTGCACCCATCGCCAATGCAGTCAAATTCGGGATTTTGATCGTAAAATCGTAGGATTTTAGGATTTTACTTAGGGATTCCGATCTTGATTTTACTATAAAATCGGGACTAAAATCGTTAAAATCGTAAAATAGTACCGAAATCGGGATTTTGATCGTAAGAGAACAAAATAGGTGGTTTGAGCCAATTTAAAATAAGTATAACTGTTTCAGCGGAAAGGGCAATGGAATCTTCTCAGATATTTTTGTATTAGAAAAATATTCAAAAATAATAAAAATAACCAAATTAGGGTTCGGTTAATCTCTTTCCCTTCACCCCATTTAACTTATTGGTAAAACACCTGTCCTAATATTGGAAGTATGTAAGAACTAACATCATTATTAACTAATTAATTTATTAATGAATATATTTGTACCAAGCCACTAACATTACTTATTTTATTGGAGTTCAATTATTTTTAGTTTTAAATCATACTTAGTAGACGATGTCGAAATATTACTTTGAGTTAAACAACCTAGACATAACATGAAAATAAGAGCCAAACCCATGAACTATATCCCTTCATCATGAATTATTTTGAGTTACACATTAAATAACAATTAAAATAGTGATTTTGGAACATTAATCTTGAGAATTATCTTATGGAAAAAAAATCTTCTGAATTATCATTTTAAATGCTATGTGTCTTTGTGATATTAATAATTTACCTTATTAATATTCTTATATGCTATGTTCTATATGGTACTTAAAATCCTACGATTTTACGATTCGATTATACGATTTTGATTTTACCCCAGTTTTCGATTTTAGGTAAAATCTCGATTTTGACTGCTTTGCCCATCGCAGCCTCTCCAAATCTTCCTATTCTACTCGCCGGGTCATCTCCTCCACTACAAAATATCTCCTCATGTACTCAAAGTTCTCACTGAAACCTAATATCTACAACTTAGGCGCAGAGGGAGCAACCGATGGATTGTAGCGACCCCCACTATTTTGATAGCTAATCAAGAAGAGCGCGTTTGTTTAGTTGTATGGTGATTCACTTAATTAACAATTTTTATTCCGTTGACAGCCTCCTCTCCGCAATTGTATTGTGTTCACGAAGATCTGAAGGCGCAAGTGCAACAGGTCCAGGGGTAAACAATATGTATAAAGCGTTGGCCAAATTGAATTGAGTCATTCTACTTGGAATATGAAGATTTTTGCTTAATTGCTTTGGTTCGTGATGCAACTATGTTATGTTTGAAGGTAGACCAACGCAAACAACAGCACAGCTCCAGGGCTATTCTGCACATTAGGTAGTTGGGGCATTAATTGATAATTATTTGGGATTATTCCTACAAGTACATAATTTGGAACGTGCCATTATATTGCATTGATTAATAGTTGTTTGAGATTTTTCAAATGAGTGATTTAACATGTTAAACTCTCTTATTTTTGAAAATGGAGTCTTCGATGTGGAATATGAAGATTTTGGATTAAGCTTGGTTTCGTAACGCCCTTATGGGTGTTTATTCTCTAAAATGCAGCTGTCTTTCAAAGTGCCCGTTGCAAATGGCAAGTCAAGATACAACGATGGTACCGATACACGTTTATATCATTAGTAGGTAGCAGATTGTGTCCGTTCTACTATATCATTTAGCTAAATACTTAGTTGTTCTTTTCAACTAAAAATTATGCTTAAATGCTGTTATTGGCCTCGAAAATGTATGTCTTTGCATTAACTGTTAATAATTGTGAGTTTTGGTTTAATGGTGAAAAGTCCATTTATTTAGAAGTCTAAATTGGGCAAACCTATTGGACAATAGGAATGCCATACATTAGTGTCGTGGGAGGTTTGTTTGATGTCTCAGGGTGTTAGATTTTTAAGAAGGTTGTTTGTTGTGGCAGAGAGTCCCTAAAGCTAGCGAGGTATTCCTATGTGGGCTTTTTCTTTGTTTGACTTTTTCTCGCCTTTTTTCTTATCTCTTTTTCTATTTTTGGTTTTTGTGTGCTACCTTCAGTTGCTACGTCTTCATTTGTGAGCCATCTATACTTTTCTTATTCAGTGCCTAAAAATCATATATACTCGATTGCATAGTAGTTACTAATAGATACATTTATACCAATAGAGAGATTTTAAGTTTTATCAGTTGTTAGTTTTAATATTTACTTACATTGGTTGTTTATGTAGTTTTCTTTGTAATATTTCTCATTATACAAATAATTACTATGGCTACGTAGTTGTATAAGTGGGGGTTGGACATGATAGTTCTTAGAAGCATCAATACTTGAAGGTTATTATAATGACCAAATTCTAAAGTTATGGTTTGCCTTCAACTTGCTTGGAGCATTTCAATTATGCATCAATTGTTCTCTCCGTGTAGTTAACTCTCAGACAAATCGAAAATCTTGCTGATATGTGCTTGATTGTAGTTAAATTTAGGGTTCTACTACATTGTTGCTTTACTCTTTTTTCGTGGTTGAGTCTGCTTCAAAAATTTAGTTTGATTTTAGAAAATTTTGCTTCTGCAGTTCTGTCTTGCCACCAACGCGTTCAATAGATGGAGACGGGAGAGGCGAATGCTATTTTTGTGTTGTTGTTGCTGGTTTAGGGATCGGTTTGTGAAGAAGAGGGAGAAGAGAGGGGGAAAGGGAAATGCAGAAGAGGGGGATAACTCTTTTCTCCGACAAAAATGGAGTGAAGAAAGGAATTATGATCAGTAAGAATATGGTTATCTTACATAACGGTCTCTATTCTGTTTGAATTGAGCTTGAGAGGCAGTGATAAGGACGAGCTGCAACCAATTCATAGTGAGAAGAGAGCTATGAACTGTGATCATGTCTTATTTCAAGTTAGAAGGCAGTTTCAGTATAAGGATTATTTAATTTGACAAGTTGTTTCGTCCATGATTCTTGGTAATTTCAGTGCCATTCTAGCCAATGTTTAGTCTGTAATTTTTGAGAATTGATGTGCGAGTAATGACTTTCACTTAGCTTCAACTATTATGTGTGTATTTATTGGCATGTAATAGAATTCTCTTTTCCTTTTCATTGAATTCATTTTCATACTCTAATTGTATTATTTGTACATAGGCAAATCATGCTCGAGATGGCAACTCGCTGATATGGCTGGTGCAAGGAATGAAGCCATCATTAGAATTCAGACCGACAACGGGGAGGGATGCCCAGGACTAATTCAATGATGATTGATGATGGTATAATAAAAACTGCAGTCTGCATCAGCACCAATTTCTAGGCCTAAGTAAAGGTATTCAACCCAGAACTCTGCTTAGCGCTAAAAATTGCCCTCACCCAACCTTGATCCTGTTTGACCCACTTCTGAAGAGTCAAGATATATGACTAATCCTCCCCGTTCGTATTTTCTTATTGACTCTTTCTGGCCCTGTAGGTTGGGGCGGGTCGGGAAGAATTGGATTAGTGGGTCGGTCCTAATCAAGTGGAATCCCAATCCCTTCACTCTCACTTGCTTTCTCTCCCATTCCACAAGTGGGTAACATACAGTAATCCGGCCAACGGGCCGGGTAATAAGCTAGTTATATATAAATGGGATGAGGCCGATCCCAACCCTTTCCCAACATCAAATTCCCCCCTCCCCAATTATTGTTTCCCAGTCGTAAACCCCATCTTCGCCGTCCCGCGGCGAGAAGAAGAAAAGAAGGGAGCGGCGGCTCCCCATCCCGACTTCCCGACCCCGATCCCATCCATTTCGTGTTTCTAGGTAAGAATCATGAATCCCTTCATGATTTTTAAACTCGATTCATCAATAGTCTAATTCGAAGCTTGTATTGTATTAGCGGTGACGTTTGAGGGTTCGATCAACGTCCCGAGTCATCCAACCTAGTCCTATGCATGTTCTAGAGGTAAGGGAACTCGATCCCTTTGAGATAGATCGGTCGATTTGGTAATTTTTCGTGAGGATACAATTTTGGATTTTTAGCAACAGACTATTCAGGCTTTTAGTGACAGATTTTGGGTAGTCATTAAAGTTGTTAGGAGTTTGCAGAAACTTATCTTAGATGTTTTAAATTGTTTTGAGTCTCTGTGGGTGTTTGTTTCTGGACGCGGTAGATGGTCGGATCTCTGCTGGACTGCGAGACGTAACGCAGCAGTTGATCGTGTTTATTGGGGTCACTACTGGACGACGAGACGTAACACAGACCATTGCCGGGTATGCCACCGGACGGCGAGACATAACGCGGTTGGCATACTAGGGCAGGGACACCGGACGACGAGACTTAATGCGGTGGTCCCTGGTGTTGGTGTCTATGGATTAAGAATAGAAGTAAGGAAATTCTAAAGATAAGATAGGAGTAGTTAGAATAGTTTAATTTCTTTGTCACATGGTTAGGAGTGTAAACTGGAGATTCTGATTTCATTCATTTTAAGTATTGGGATTGTCATTTGCCCAATTGTTCAGGCTTTTTGTTTGAAATTCTTAAACATTGTCGATTTATTTATTTTAAAAAGTTGTTTGGATTGCCCCGGAGTAACTGGTTTTTGGTTTGAGTTATGATTTGGTTTTCGAAAAAGAGCGGGTCGTTACAGCCGGACTTTGAGAACAACTCATATTTTTTTGTGGCAGAAGTGTTAGAGGTTGTGGAATTTATCGAAGTAGAGGAAGCAGTCAAGGTGGAAGAGGTTGGAACATGGACAATGTTCAGTGTTCTTAAGTATCATAGGTTGGGATACTTTCGAGTTAATTGTCCAAAGTGGTACAATCAACATACAAAATACTCTGAACAAGGTGATGTGAAGGATAATGTTTTTTATGGCATGTAGTGATCAAGAGTTAGATCAAAAGGAGCAGGATCATTTTTCGTTGATGGCTATCAAAGACGAGAAAGAAGAGATTGTGGACAATCAAGGTCAGTGTGAGTCAGCGGCGGATTCAGAACACAGAAAAGCACTGGGCCGCATTTCATTAGAAAATTAGAACCGTAAAAAAAAAATATTATAGTTTTTTTTACAATATAAATTGTAACGACGATATTTTAATTTAGCGAATACATCAATAATGGAGTCCACATGATCCATACCAATAGTATACATTGTTTCAAATAAAATACTTGAGCAATCGGCGAGAAATTCATCGCTCGTTTTGTTGCACAAATCAGTTTTCATATGTTTCATTGTTGAAAAAGTTCTCCCCGTAGTAATTGGTGATACGAACAGCGTCAACGTTAGAACAAATCAATTGTGCATTGTGTGTCCATACCTATATCCACTAGCTGCTTTAGTGAATTTTCAGGGAACAAAACTCATATTTCTTATAGTCTTTTGTTCAGACTTTTAGAATTTTAGATGTCATTGTTTTTTTTTAGAAGAATAATCTTTGGAGCTAGAATTTCTAGGCTAAATTTCTAGTTACACCCAATCTTATTATAAAATAACACTGAGACGAATAACTAAAATCGAAAAATTCATAAAACTATACTAACTCCGGATCCAGAGGAGGACTGGGCCGGGGCCCGGGGGTGGCCACCCCTGGATCCGCCAGTGGTGTGAGTGGTTCTTTGACACAGTCAAGGAGGTTGAGGAAGATTCTCGAGTTCGAATGGGAGCACTAGAGATTTTCGAGGATGAGGAGATGTCTTTGCTAGTTCATGATGCACAATCTGTCTCGGAACTTAAACATCAATATCCGTAGGACACTGGAGCTGAAGTAGTGGCATGGCAGTTTGAAAAAGAAGAAGAGCCAGCAGAAACAGCTGCTGCAACTACTGCAACTCCATATGGTGCAGGGAAGTTTCAAAAAGATAAAGAAGAGTCAGCAGTGTTGGAGCTTCCCTCCTCTTCATCATTAGAATTCATAACAAGTTTTGATCACAAAACGACAGAAGGTGCTTATGAGATGCAACCACCAGGGGAGGAGAGCAAGATACTTCTCAGAACGTGGCACAACATGATTGAAATGAGGTATTTAATGTATCAATACCATTTATTAATTAGAAAGTCAAAGTTGGCATTATTGGATAGCTTGTATGTGCATATAATCTGGAGGATGCCAAACTGGTGACTGCCAAAAGTCATGAGAAGCTAGTTAAGAAGGTTAAAACCTTAATTGAATCTATGGTTGAGATAATAGATTCGGGTGGAATGAGATACTTGGATGGTGTTGAAGTTTCAAAAGGTGGTCAAGGGGTTTTCAGTTGTCCAAAAAATAGTACTAGGGAGCTGTTAGAGAGCTTTCAGCTCTCGGAAAGTAGTGGTTTTGGAGTTGGTTTATTGCAGGGATCAAGATCTAAGTGGGCAATTGAAAGTGACCTGGTCAATTACTTGAGTACAACTAGTATGATGTGTGTTGATGCTACATCTAAACCTGCTGCCAGCTTAGCAGTGGGCAGTTGCACACAACCTTTTGTGATACCCACAAGTCATGTTAAGTGGAAGAAGAGACTGTAATAGTTGAGGAATTGGATTCTATAGTTAAAATCAGACCTATTTACCTGGATATACACAAGAATTATATGTTTTCAAATATTGATAATCCTCCAAGTTGTGCAGAGGCAGTGGATTTGCAACCCCAAGAGCTGGTGGTTGCAGGAGAGGAAAAGAAGCATGCAAAGAAGGTCTTTGAGTGGGTTCAAGTGATGGATTTGATAAGTATGCGATATTGTGTAAACTTGTGTGCAGATGATCATAACTTGGTTATCACAACGCAAGAGGCAGCTCTGTTACTTGTAACTCTATGCAGGAAAGGGGTGATGTTTCTGGACACTAATTTGGCGAGAGGAAGGTGCATGATAGCTATCATAAGAGACTGTTTCTGGGCTTCCAAGAGAGGCATAAAGTATCTGATGGGGATTCCAAGCTATGGAATTTGTTCTAAAAAGAAGACAGAGGGGAAGCATGTTAATGAGATTCAACATGGAGATTTATGGCCTTCAGCTTTCCAAGTGGAACACAAGTATCCAGCACAATTGAGGAGTGAACTGGAAACCAAGAAATTGAAGGTTGTAACAAAAGATCAAAGTGATGCTTCTAAAATTAGAAAGAATTTTACTGCTAGAGGAGCAGCTAGTGCATCAAAGTATTATGCATCATCACCAAATCAGGCAAGATGAATTTTCAGTCTGTTTCATCAGAAGTTTTTGCCCAACATTCTAGTGAGAGCTGGGATGGCAAAGAGACATGTCTTAGTGGTATTCCAGTCGTGGAAAATAAGATGTCTAGAGTTATACATATCAGGTGTAAAATGTGGTTGTCAAGCTTCAAAGGAAAGCTGAGAAAGGAGGCAAGAAAATTGTTCATCACCTAACTGATCTATGGAAGAGGATTGAAACAGGATGCATGTAGAGTTGGGTTGGCTTTGACTATTGTGTCATTTGTATTGTTTATATTTCTTGCTAGGTTGTGTGTCAAGAGAGTTTGCTTAAGCAGTCGTAGATAGAGGGTTTAAGGGACTTGAGGATGAGGGCCGAGATAAGCGAGAGATTGATCAAGAGAGCTGTATATATATTATGTTTTCCATTCAATAAAACTTTTGTCAGTTTGCGGCATATTGGTTTCAATATTGATGTGATTTAAAATAGAGGGGTAAGTCTCAATTATGTAATAATTTGTATTTTTTTTTTACAGTGACCTATTACATGGTGCTACTAGAAGGGTTGGATTTGAACCAAGGATCTCCAGCCTGAAAACCAGCGGGCACGACCACTCGGTCACGACCTCATCCACATAATCTCTATGATGAAAATTAGAAAAAAGAAGGAACTGAAGCACCCAATTAATAACAATGCCTATTTACCACAACTCCACAAGTCTAGAGAAGCCACTAGAAAAAAAAAAAAGTTATAACACCAATAAGTACCCATAATTGGGGGGAAATTGTGAGAGATTTACAATGAGCACTCTATGTATATACATCTCAACACACTATTACATTCTAACTTATAAGATGGTAAATAAAGAAAGGAAGAAAACAAATATATTTACAAAATAATCATATTTACACAACAAAAAATCAATTCCCCCAAAAGAGAAACAATCGGGGAAAAAATTCCTGCATGGAAACAAAAATGGGATTATGTGCAATCAATTGAAAAAAATGTGTGAAGAAGAATCCTCGTTCCTCGAGATCATATAGAGGAGTGTAGGTCCTTAGAGACCTTCCACCGATGCAGAACTTCACCAAGAACATCATGGAACAGAACCTCAACGTTGGTGCTTGTGAGTTGCATGGACATGAATCCTTGACCATCATAGAAAAACTTCATCACACGTTCATCGTACTTCTTAGTGTCACCCCTCCATGCTTTCGAGCCCGCTCCGCTCGTCAGATACTGAATCGGGCTATACTCCGCCCGCCATGCACGCAAAATAAGTTTCGTAAATCATAGCAATTTACAATACATCATGAATCGATATATAACTAGTCGATCTATACACACGAGCCAACACACTACCCTAATACGAAATTTTATCTAGCTCTATATGCTAGTATATACAATGTTGGTTACCTATCATGGCTGCTGATGTGCTCCAGGCAGTGGTCATGACCATTTACATACAGATCTACATCGTTGGCCTATACACAAGACAAATAGACGTATTAAGAGAACTCACAATTACCCTCCAAGAAAATGGTCTCCAAAAGTTTTTGCAACAGTTTTTTTTTGGTCACAAAAGGCATTGACAAAAATTGGACAACAATTACGACGAGTACTGAAAACCTTTAGAATGGGAAGGAGATGTTGTATGAGCTCTTCGGTGTCGCCGTGGGTGCCGGCGCTTCTGATTGCATGGTGGCCAACCACGATCTTCCATCTCGAGCTGCTCTCTCTTAGTGCATTCTCCAAATCCTTTCATTATTTAAGTGTAAATTAACGTGTTGCAATGTTTGCTAATCTTGTAATTATATGTTGATTAATGATGTATAATATCTTTAAAATTTTTTTTTTTTTTTTACCTTGAGAAGGTTGGCAAGGTAGGCTCTGCGTGGCGAGACATCTCGCCAGTCGTAAGTGTGGGATTTCTCGGTGTAATACTTGTCCACGAACGGTGTCGTGTCCACAAAAAAGAACGTTGCAATTTCTGGTAATTAATTTGAGTCATTGCCACTATAGTTTAGCACGCTAAGCTAACAGGCGGGGAAACGACGAGTTGATTGAATTATGTTACCTGTATCGAGCATGAAAGATCTGAGGCAGAGCCATCTACTGTCAACTTTCCTAAGAAAAGGATCCAATTGTGCAACCGCGTCACCTCTGTAGTCATGATTCCCCAGAACTACACGTACAAATTGGGGAAAATGCCATATTGATTAATTAACAGGAAATGATGAATTAAGTATACTATTTGATTACATACATAACGAGAGATATGTCTACTTACCGGTATACCATGGCTTCTGGAGGCTATTTGCAGTGTAAACTTCTGTGAACGACTCTTCAAAAGCTGGATCGTGTGGGCCTTTAAGCCCATCATCGTAAAAATTGTCACCCGTTGAAATCACGAAGTCTATATCTAATTCCTGCCCAATTCTTCCCATCTGCAATTACACACATCGAATTTCAATTTGATCATCCCTAATCCTAAACAAGCATCCATAAAATCATCATTAGTAAAAATACCAGACAAAATAGTGACCAAAAAAGCAACATAATCGTTGCCAAAACTCTGGCTTTAGCGACCGGATGCGCTTGCGACTGAATAGTTGGTTGTTGTTGCAAAAAACTCTCTTTTCTTGTAGTGATTATAAGCGGTGATAAATGAAGCGCACCTGGGAAGCAACTATGGTTTGGTTGAAATGGCCACGCCTGCCCCAATCCCCAACAACCAAAAGGCTGAGCGAACCATCGTCCTTCACTTGGTGTTCCAGCCTTGTGAGTTGGGAAACACAGCTGGGAACCGTGAAGAAGAAAATGAAGGAGAAGAGGACAGCAACTAGCGGCATTCCGACGACCCTTTTCAAATTGCCCGCTAACGACGTCGCCATGGCTTTTGTAATCGCCATGGCCAGATTCCGGCGAGAGGCCGGCGAGCGAGATAATGGAGAGGGAGGAAATTAAATAGAGGGGATTGATTCAAATTGTTTAGTTGTGGGAAGTTCGGCGTGTTTATATAGTGAACAAAATTCATGGTTATTCGTTCATATGTAGCCTAGCCCCTCAAATTTGAGGAGCGATGGTACTTGATTCAAGGAGGATTCGAATAGCTAGGGTAATACGTACACAAATGAGAAAAATGGCATCCAATAAGAATTGATGGATGTAAATACATTAACACGTACACTTCGTTCTGTATTTGGATGCTGCTAAATTCCGTTCCCTATTTCAAAGATTGAAATAAGGTGATGCGCCAAGTTAATTCACCATAAAAAAAATTATTGAAATAGAGAGGAGAGTTGATTGAATTGGAAATTCTTAATTCGCACGACATTCCGAACCGAGTATAATTTGGTTTGATTCTCGATCCTATTAATTTTATAATAACTGAAGATCAAAGATGGAGCGAATTGATATTTGGACCGACCGACTAAATGGACCGAATGCAATGACTGTCCGATCCTCCGTATTAAGATGTCTTTCACTAATGGACCAAGATCCTCAAGAGTTTGGTTCGATCTGGACCGGACCAAACCGTTAGTGTCGAGGCATATATCCGAATAAAAGTAATGAAGCATTAAATGCTACGATAGCAATGAGTGAAATAGTAGGGATGACGTCGAAGGGCTTTCGACTATAAATAATGGGAAGGTAGTCACATTTAAGATGGTCTCTCTCCACAATACTATAACACCATGTGTCTCTCTAGAAAATCACTCTTGAATTGATCATCGAATGAGTAACAAGTCATTTAGACCCTAGATCGTGTGATCATACTCAATTTATAATGTTTATCACTTACATATTTTGCACATTTTCAGTATATTTTCATATATTTAATACTTAAATCATAACTATTTGATCAATGGACATTTAACAGACCTAGGTTGTATTTTGTATTCTTTATGCCTTTATGGTATGTTTTTGTGCTTTTCAAGGTAAAATACAATCTAGGAGGATTTGGATCAAGCATTGGACAAATCTGGATGACCAAACAAGCAAAGTAGAGAAGAATAAGAAGTTTTCATGTAAAACGAGGTCTAATGAGGGAGAAACCTACTGGTAACCACAATGAGAGCCCAACAGAGAAAGAATCAGTGTCATGTCCAGGTGCCACCCACCACTATGCATACCTTGTCAAATGACGGAGAAATCTTCAAGAAAGGTTGCTTATAATAGGCCAAGAAACTCAGCCCACAAAGAAAATCTTTGGCGATCTCGGCACCCAGCCGCCACTCAAGGGCCCAATCAAAAGAAGATCCAGAAGGCCTTGTTTCGGCCATATGTAAAGAAACCTTGTCACGGTAGGGCTAGGAAGGTTCTAGCTGAGTTTTACATCTATAAATAGGGAGCCAGATTCATTAGTTTGATAGGCTGCTTAAATTCATTCAAAAATTTTGTGGACACTCTGTTTGAGTGAGAGCTTAGCATTCACAGAAGATGGTGCAATAATTAAGGTGATCCTTCATAATCGACGGTGGTACCCTCCTTTTCTTCTAAGTATAGCTAGCTCGAAATTTATTGTGTAGGAATGTGAACTCGTTTATCTCTCTATATATATCAATGCTATGAGAAGTGAAGTTATGAATGCATGATTTTATAGATATGAATTTTAAATTTTGAAATTGGAAAAAAAGTGGCCGACAAATAGTAATTATGTTGACTGCAAATAGCCATCCACAATAATTCATCCAATTCAATCGTTTCTTCATGCAATTTCGAACAAAAGAATACATCTAATACCTTACTTGTCTTACATGAAAAGATATAAGGAAAAAGCTGGCGGGGCAATCCAATGAATCGCGGAGACCCTATTCTGAAACTGGGATGTGATCCAATTTTTCAAGTATAATAAAATGAATGTTGTTACTTACACAATAGTTTCAAATAAAACTATCCATCAACTCATCAATGCTTGTATTTTGCTAGAAAATATTTTCAATCATCATCTTCCCTAATTCATTAAGAATTTATTGTGTCATTTTATTACACAAATAAGACTTGTAGAACACAAATAAAACTTTGATAATGAATATGCATATCTCGTTTATATATATACGAGAATATTGAGCAATAACTAGCACGACTAATAATTATATATTTAAACACATTATCATAATCATAACCAATCAATCATACACAACAATTCATCATATAATATAGAACTGGATCAAATAACAAACCTACAAACAATGGAATGGAGGCCTCTAGTATTTAGAGGGAAGGCCTCCTGACACACTCTAATGGCAGGGCCTGGAACGGACACGTATATAATTTAAATCACTCTTTGTCCATAGTATCGATCCCTAGCTTAGTTAGCTTAGTTTTCCTTTAATTTATCGGTAAATGATTAATTAATCTAAAAGCTCCCTCCAAAGCCCAGCAATAAAGAGATCGAATAAGTACTTAGTTTCCAGTTTGTGCAGAAGGAAAAGAAACTTGTTAACCAAGCAAGGTCTCCTTTGATCTCCTTCTATAAATACACATATGCATGCTGATGCAGGCCCAAACGAATAGCTAGCTAGACATTATGAGTGTCGTTTTTTTCGTCATGCGACTGTCGTTTTATTAGGATCCATCCATCGATTCAATCGTTCTGCAGTAAAGATTCATCCGTCCTCCGTACCTGTTTCGACGAGACGATTTGATCAGGTTCAGGTATATACATACCTTCTTTCATTTACCGTCAATATATTTATTTTCTTATGTGTATATTATACGCATGCATGTATATATGTACGTACCACAGTATATGTTTGTGCATCTATATAGTGCATGGGTCAAGCTGCTATACTGAATTTAAACTATGCAATATCATTGGTTGTGGATGTTGGGATTTTTTTTATAAAGGTTGTGGATGCTGGGATTAATCAATATATGTAATTTTCTGACAATATCTTATCAGATTATCAAAAGGCGAATAGATTTAAATATATGGATTCACGATGGTAGATCATAGGGAGTTTGATGCGGAATTTGTAGAACGATCTTTAAACGGACGATACATCGAAGAGCACAATCCGGGAAGTTTAGGTGGCCTTCCTCAACCAAGCCTTCTTAGTCCACTCACAGGAACCTCGTGTATTCCTGATGATGAGATTATGCTTGTATTTTCGATCTTGGTGTATTAGAGACCACAACCTCTAATTTCTTTATATACTATGTTTAGCTAGGGTTCCCATCAAATCCTAATTGGGTTTAGTATATGGTTTTCACCCATTGGATCCAGATAAGATATTGAGAAGTCTTGGCTCCATAATTTTGACCACTTACAATTAGCTCACTTTAATAACTAATATAATTATTGGTAACATAAATCACAGCCCACAGCACGTGGAACATATTTTCCAACAATCTCCCACTTGGGTTGTATGTTTTTCTACAAATAATTATATCACAAAAGTTTCTTAGTCGCGCGACCGAATGATATTTATACAATGACTACTCCTTAACAATCTTGTCCACCTCATGCATAGTAGTGGAACCAATGCGACTTTAATCATGATATTGATAGTGATTAAACCACCATGATCACCACTTTTATACACTCAATAACATAGATCAAATATGAATGCGGCATAAAAATTACATGTATGTGATCTTGAACATGCCAACTTTTAACTGGTCCACTTTTAGTGAGATCAACAAATACTGCATGCAATGTGAATATTGCATAAAAGAACTAAACACCTTAAAGTTCAAAATAGAAAGTGAAAGAAACAAAATATCACTTTATTCTGCAGAATCATAAGTCAATGTCTATACAACAATACACAAACGACTCCCATTAAACCAAGGTATCATCCTGAATAACGCCCCAATGAGCAGTGTGCTCAAAATTGTTGTAGGCGGTAAACCTTTGGTCAAAGGGTCAGCTAGCATAGACTCAGTCCTAATATGTTCTATAGAAATCTGTTTATTTTGAACCCTCTCATTAATAACAAGGTACTTGACATCGATGAACTTGTGACTTTTTTGAACTCCTACTATTATTAGAGTACAACACTGCTGCATTACTGTCACAATAAATTTTTAATGGCCTCTTAATGTTGTTTACCACACGCAGCCCCGTGACAAAATTTCGTAGACATAATCCTTGAGCAGATGCCTCATAACAAGCTATGAATTATGTCGGCATGGAGGAAGGAGCTATAAGATGATGCTTAACAGACCTCCAAGAAATAGCCCCTCTAGCCAACATAAAGATATAGCCAAATGTAGAGCTCATGCTATCTTGGCATCCAACAAAATTGGAGTCAGAATACCAATGACCTCCAGTCTATCTGATCTATGATAGGTAAGCATGTATTTCCTTGGTCTAACGAAGCATTTTGAAATGAAAGATCTTGGTGACGCCTCTTTTATAATGGATATTGAGATACTAAGAGATCGCTCTCGAAGTAATGTTTTGAGTAGATTCTATATGAAAGATTGTAACCCAGCAAATACACCAGTAGCCATAGAAGACAAGTTCAGTCTCACTCAGTGCTCCACAAATAATCTAGATAAAGCAGAAATGCAGAAGATTCCTTATTCTTCAGCAATAAACGAGTTTGAATTTTGCCGACGGAGTTGCTGTCGATTTTAGTTGGCTTAGGGTAGTATGTATAACCATCTGGTGACAATTAGGTTCAACCACTTGATTTTTTTTTGGGATAAATATGTGTGTGTCACTAACATTTTTATAATCTAACTTTTTTCAATTCACTTGCCAGTTACATCTGTGGCTTTTTATTTTAATTATATAGAAAATTAGATTTATTGTGACCTACAAAATGATATTAGACTTTAGATATTTTTCGAGATAGTACCCTCTACCAATTGTCGTACCACCACACAATATATAATTTCACAACATGGTACAATTTTCTTTATCATCATTATATAATTTTCATATACAATCGAACTCCATTATGAACAAATTGCTTTTCATAATGCAGAAATGGACTGTTGTTTAGGTGGAATAAAGGGATGTGCGAAGATCCTAGCTCCTATTCTCATCCCCTGCAAGTTATGTTGTGGAAGTAAAACTAGTTCTAATAATAAGAACTTCCCAAAGCCTCCTCCCCCTGCGCCTCCATCACCATCACCACAACCTCCTCCTTCTAACAATAATAACCCCTCGCCAACATCACTAACCTCACCTCCAGACTCAAACACCTCACCATCGCAACCATCACCGTCAGAAGTACTACCCCCACTTCCGACGGGGGAGTACGAGGTGTTTCTGAGCTTCAGAGGTGGAGACACGCGTCATCAGATCGCCGAGTTTCTTTCCCTTTTCCTAAAAACCCGTGGCGTTCGTGCATTCATAGATGATAACCATGGCTACCACGGGGACGAGATAGGCCCTAGCCTCACTAAGTCCATTGAACAGTCCAAGATCTACATCCCAATACTTTCTGAGAACTTTGCGGATAGCAAATGGTGCCTTAAAGAGCTTGCCAAAATGGTCGAGTGTCAGGAGCGAGACCAAAGGCACGTCATATATCCCATTTTCTACATGGTGGAACCAACGGATGTGAAAAACCAAACCGGTCCTTATCAGAAAGCATTTCAACAGTACGAAGACGCGAAGAAAATTAGTCCCGATATCATAAAAAACTGGAAGCATGCTATGCGTGTGGTTGGGCATAAAGTCGGACGGACCATCAAGAGTAAAGATGCCAAGTAAGTCATCATTGATCTCACCAATTAATCTATCCCTTTTTTTTTATAAGCATCGCCAATCTAGCCCTTTTTTTTATAAGGGCCAATCTAGCCCTTGTTAATTACTTATTACCAAATGATCATCAACTCCTAGCTTGCTACATATTTATTTACTTGTTTGTCACAAAACATTTATATATGTGTTTCATTTCTACAGCCTTGCAGTTGTAATAGATGGTGTTGCCAGCTTTGTGTTGAGGCATTTAAATAAAAACGAAAGTGTTTCATATGCGGGTGAGTTGGTTGGGATTGAAAATCCTGTGGAGGAAGTGATAGAAAAAATGAGCTTAGGCAAAACCACTATCGCAAAAGCTGCCTTTCAAAAACTTGCTACTCAATTCGATCGACGATGTTTTCTGGCAGACATACGAGAAACACAGAAGGACAAGGATGGTAACATCAATTTGCAGAAGAAGCTAATCTCTCAGGTTATGATAAGAGAGGATTCTAGTAGTTCTATCAACATGGTTAACGACGGAATCAAGCTGATAAAAGATAGACTTTCCTCGCTCAAACTTCTTGTCGTTCTTGATGATGTGGATGATAAGTTCAGATTCGAGGATGTTTTGGGAGATCCTAAGAATTTTTCTCCTGGAAGTAGATTCCTTTTTACTTCCAGGGACAAAACTGCACTGATTGATCTCGATCAGTACCGCAAGTTATATGAAGTTCAGCCTATGAATGAAAAACTATCGTGCCAAGTCTTTCTTAGGTATGCTTTCCACAAGGATTCTCCTATAACGGGCTACGAAAATCTAACAAAAAAATTTGTACAAAAAATAGGAGGAGTCCCATTAACTCTTAGGGTTATGGGCTCCTCTTTGCTGGGGAAAAAAATACCATTCTGGGAGGGCGAGTTGAAAAAGTTAAGAAATTCACCCAACCAAGAAGTCAAGGAAATTTTGAAGATAAGTTACGACTCATTGGATCCCGAGAGCAAACAAGTATTTCTTGATATCGCTTGTTTCTACATCGGTATTGATCAAGAGAAACCTTCTTACATGTGGAGTGATCTTGGACTCTATCCGGAGGTCAGCATCACTATCCTCGACAACCGGTCCCTGATCAAACTTGGGTATGACGACGAGTTTCAAATGCATGATCAACTGAGAGACATGGGGAGAGCAATCGTTCGTGACGAAAATCCTGAATACGCATGGATGAGAAGTAGGGTATGGGATGAGAAGGACGCTCTGGAAATGCTACGAATGAAGAAGGTATATACCAAACTTCCATACACAACTTTTTTTTCCTCCCCATTTTGGCTTTCAATGCCCATTTATATGCCAAACATGTAAGCTCTAATTCTCTTTTACGCAGGGATCCAACCAAGTTAAAGCTCTTAGAGTAGATGATGCATATAACATTGGCACGCTTACACGCGAGCATTTTCTGAATTTGCAAGAGCTAAGATATTACGATGCCGGTGGAGCAACGTTTGGCGGAGACTGCAACAACATTCTTCCTAATATAAGATGGCTTAGCTTGCGTGGTCACAAAAACAAAGTATATCATCCGGCCAATTTTCACATGGAAAATCTGGTGATTCTTGATCTCGAAGGATTCCCACTTTTAGAGGATGACTGGGGAGGTTGGAGCCAAATCAAGGTTTGCTTATAAAAAATATTGTTCATATTTCCAACGGGTAAAAGTTATGTTTGATCACTGAATTTATTAAAACGTGTCATGTTTAGTTACGAAAAAAAATTAATATCAATGTCGGTCATTCGAATTAATAAAGCGGTCCACGTTTAGTCACTATTCGTTAACACTGTCAGTCAATATTGCTTAAGTGGCTAACAGAAATGTCGAATCACCCTTTTTTAACCCGCCACATAGGTTGGTTTGGTTTAATGATTAGGTAGGGAAAGAAAGGGTGATTCAAAATTTCTGTTAGCCATTTAAGCAATTGACTGACGGTGTTAACGGAGACTAAAAGAGAGTGACTAAACGTGAACCGTTTTACTAATTCGAGTGACCAACATTGATATTAATGTTTTTCCAGTAACTAAACATGACACGTTTTAGTAAACCCAGTGACCAAACGTGACATTTACCATTTTTCCCAACTTATGCTTTTAAAAAAGAGTGTGTTTGACATCTTTGTGTTTATGATCATTTGCACTTATGCAGACAGCTAACAGATTGAAAGTCCTAGACCTCTCCGGATGCAGTACTTCATTGACCAAAATCCCCGAATTCCCACAATCGTGGAGTCTGGAGGTGCTCAACCTTTCATCTCTCGAACTAAGTTCGGGCTTGGAGTTGGACGTTAGCAATTTGCGGAACCTAAAAGTGTTGAATCTACATGCCATCAAATTAGAAAGGATAGTTGGTGGAACCATTGGAACTATGGAAATGCTCCGAGAACTTGATCTTAGCATGCTCGAGTGCAACAATCTGGAGGAAGTGGTCGTCGATATCGGGGAATTGTCTTCTCTTCAGATCCTGAAAACAACTGAGGCGGAGGAGCTACCGTTATTAGGGAAGCTTCCAACGAGTCTGAAAGTGCTACACACTTCATCTCCGGTTGTTAATCTCTCGGAGCTGGTGGCTTTGGAGGAACTGATGGTTGTGAAATGTGATCTCGGTCTCCAAATCCCTACGACTAAGAGTTCGTGGTGGAGTGAATCCAAACTGAAGTTCATGATGCTTAAAAACTCCAACATGGTTCCCGCAGAATCTTCTTCTTCTTCTTCTTCTTGTTGTCGGCTCCCAACATCTTTGACAAATCTCCACGTGTGGGATTGTTCGGAATTGAAGTGGTTGCCAAACTTGGAGAACCTCGAGAATCTGACCGACTTGTTTGTCGACGGATGTGGCAGTTTGCAAGAAATCCAAGGGCTTGACAATTTGTTGTTGGCCGGATCCAGTAAGTTGGAGTCTGTTTCGATGACGTATTGTCCTCTTCTCACATCAACGTTCCGCCGCCGTCACGACGACGTCGGCCGTCGTGAGAAAAGAGTCGAATCTATGAAAGCATTGTGCATCGTCAAGTGTGGCGGCGGCATACCTCATCTGTCAAACTTCCCAAGGCTTACGTCGCTGGAAATTGGGGACGTAACTGATGAATTAGCGGCTGATCAGCAGGTGATTGTTTTGTTTGTTTGGCTGTACGTGTGTGTTAACTTTACAATAATTTGGTTTTGTTTGATTGTATGCTAAATGGGTTTTTTTAGATTTTTTTATTTTTGAAGAAATTTATAAATTGGTATTTTAATTCCTTTGTTTTTATATTGGGAACAATGTGGTTCATGTAGGGTTTAAACTTGAGAGCTTTAGCATCCATGTTTAAAATTAATTATTTAAGAGCAATGAACTCTATTTTGATTTCAGTGTGTTTTTATGTGTGTCTACTTATAATATTCTTTTCAATAAGATATTTGTTCTTTAACGATGTTTAATGACTTACTATCAGTTGATACTCTGGTTCGATTCTGACAATATTGGAAAAAATAAAATACAAAAGTTCACAAGAATTGAACCCACAAGAGACACACTATATACCATACCTTAATTAAAATCCGACGAGTGCATGTTATGGTAACACTATCTAATTAAGAGTATCACATAACCATAAATTCACCGGATTTAGATTATATAACTATTTATTACTTATTCCATCCATGCGCATGCAGGGAATGGGATCACAACTAGACGGCATTGCCAATCTGGAAGAGCTAAAATATCTAAGCCTGTTTGGCTTGTCGTCCGTCGACAGACTTCCGTCGCTGTCGAAGCTACGAAAGTTAACTTTCCTATCCATCCACGACATGCCGAAACTGCGGGAGATCGAGGGTCTTGCCGACTTGAAGTCGTTGAATGAACTGGTACTCGCTGGTTGCACGTCGCTAGAGAGACTGAGATTGATAGCAGCCGATGATGGTCTGAATCTGAAGGAACTCAAGGGATTAGACATTCGCGGATGCAAGAACTTGCCGCCCGGCGATCTCTGCGCTCTCAAGGCTGTTAACCTGCCGAGTGTGCACATCAAATGGCCGCATGAGCCCTACGAAGACGACGAACCAAACATACTCCTGGACGAGTTTGATGCTGTTCTACGGGAGATGGAGTACGAAGACGAATCATCCTGAAATATCGGGCTCTCTCAAACGCGGTAAATAAATTAAATATACTTTTTTTTTACGTTACGTACACCTATCATTTTCATTATCAGGCGTTATCCGCTTACTCCTTTCGAAATAATTTCAACGTGTGAAACTCTCTCTCTCGTATTTGCTCTAATATTTAATCTGAGTACATACTTCATGAATTCGTCTTATTAACCAAACATTAATATACGACCAAATTTTTATGAGTCGTAGAAAACACCTGGAGTAGTTGTCATTAAAATTTCCACGTTGTATTATCATATTAAACAAACATCGATGATTAACATTTAAAATATGATCATTGGAGTCTAGTTTGAACCTGCAATACCAAAAATTTCAGGTAATAAAGAGACTAACTACGTTTTTTCTTCTTCTTATACATATACAGCTGAAGATTGTTCTAGAAATAGTTGTCATTTTAAATTTACCATTTGACGACCAACTCGGTTTATCAGTTTAATTGGCTTTTCCTTTCCACTTCATTCAATTTGCAGGCCTTCCCCGAAGAAGGTGATGACTGTACGTGCCGCCGGCGAGAGAAAACAGGTCGGCTGGCCGACTTATTTCTCCAGTTATTGATATATGACGATGTACGTACGCTTCTCCGGCCGATGAAGCTAGCTAGTGTGATTGTCTAAACTATATGTATGTATAATATTGTGACGATGGATGTGTGCATTTGAAATAAAGATACCGAAATAAATTAATGGATTGTTACAATATGTGAATGTGGTGACTAGCTAGCTTATGGGAAGAATGCATGATATGAGGTGTGGTATATTATGTAGGTAGTTCGATGTCCATTTATAGTACGTAGATAATGCATCCCTAGCCAATTAACTTCTAGTACGTAGATAATGCATCCCTAGCCAATTATTTTCATGACAAACGACTCATTACATTTTCATCTTAATTATTCATCACAACAACCACAAGAACATTACTGAGCATCTTATATACATTACTGAGCATCTTATATAGCTAGCCAGCAATGAGGGCGAGAAGGAAAGATCTGTAATGTCCCGAAGTCTCCGAATGAATAACATCCACCAATGGCTTCTTGAACCTCTTCTTGTACTCCACCTTAATCTCCTCCATATCGATCTCCGCCCTCGTCACCACCACCCTTATCACCGCCGTGTCGTGCGTCCCCAGCCCTCTCATCGCCTTCCTCATCACTTTCGCATAGTACTTCGCCGGATTCTCCGCGCACTGCAGGATCGCCGACAGCCCGTTCTTGAAACTCCCCGACGTCACGTCCTTTATCGCCTGCATGCATGCATGCACACACGTACATATAATACGTAAATTTCATAATGAATCTTATACCACGCACTAACACAGCTAGCTGCGACGTATTATTAAATATTTACGTCAAAGCGCACCATCCTGAGGTCCTTCTGGTACATGGTGAAGTAAGCCGAGCGGAGAGCGACGAGGTGGGCCCTACTCCTCTCGGTGAAAAGCTCGATCAAAACGGCCTCGTCCGACGAGCTCCCGGCCTTCACCTTGCGTATGAAGTTGGCGTCGCTCTCGACCAAGAGCGCGTCGATCTCGGGGCCCTCGTAGCGCGTGGTGTTGATGTATGCGAGAAGCAGCCTTTTGTGGTCGCCGGAGGCGTGGGACTTGATGTCGTCCTCGAGGGAGCTCCATTTGGAGGAGTAGACTTGTTTGATCTGTCGGATCTGGGCGCACGTGCGAGTGCAGATGAGCTCGGTGACGCCTCGGGCGTCGAAAAGTGGGACCGACTTGATTGCCTGGCGGAGCGCGATGGCGTCGCGCTCCGCTGGGTTCTCCATCCATAGGAGGACTGCTTTCTGGAGGGAAGGATTAACACTGACTGGGTCAAAACCCTTGCATATGCGGTCAATATTTTACGCGCGTTTTAATTAAGGAAGTAATGGTATGTGTATGCGTATGTGCGTACCTTGAGATTGCCGTGGAGCTCATCGGCCAAGACCTTACGGAGGTCGTGGGAGAACAAGGTTTCGTACTCTTGGAGGATGTGGTCACGATGTGATGCATCTCTGTGTGCCAGAATGTTCACCACGGCTCCCGTGTCACAGCCTAGCCCTACATTGAATCATACATTCAAAATTATTTCGGAATTGTGAACAATTTCATAATCAATCGAAAAGGGATAAAATCACTATTCGTGGGGTACGATATGAGATCTAAAGTTTTCCTAAGAAATAGAGATTGACAAATGCCATTGCCAGCACAAAATGGTGACAAATCTATGTCGTGCAATGCAAATTAATCTAGCTAGAAGGTGAATGAAATTTGTTAATATGGTGATTAAGGAGAAATGTGTGTGATTAGTAAGGCACCTTTGAAGGCACGATGGAGGTTTTGGGCATCCTCGCGAGGGGAAGGCTGGGGTGAAGGCACTGTTAATGTTGACATGATATGATTGTTTTTTTTTTTATTGATCTTTCGATTTCAACGCACAAATCTTAAATTTTTCAGAACTCCAAAAGAAATTGACTTGAATAAAGGGCACATTAATTAGGGAATCCCAGCAACATGCAATCACCATTGTTTCTTTGTGAAGGAACAAACTTAATATGAAATGTTAGAATTATGTTATCTTCTCCTTTCTTGTGCAAAAAATGAAAATAGATGGTGAAATCTTATCTGAAACTGAAAGAAAAAAAGGGCTACTTTGAAAATGAAAGCCCGTGTTCAGAGAAACAAAGTGTAAGGCCCAAAACGATAAAATGGTCGGGCTCATTAGCAAAAACAATATTAATGGGCTTAATTCCATCTTGTTAACGTTCTTCCTTCTTTCCTTCTTTTTCAACCCTCTAGTTTGTGTTAAGTTTCAGTAGTCAAAGTTCACATAACCCGATTGGTGAATGAAACCCTTGTGTGGCGCTCGATCCGGATGTGGCAGGTCCTGAGTATGACCCTCTTTGAGTCCCATTTATGGTGTTCCTGGCGACGTTAATGGTAACTTTTATGGAAGGCCAGAAGGACTCAAGCATAGGCCCGGCCCAGATCCTGTGCTGGTCAGACCCACAACACAGGGCCTCAATTTTATGGCGGCCTCTTAATAAGTCTTGAGGCCCACTTCACCTAGCAAGACCACATATATAATTCATGGGGGCAACAACTCTCGGCCACTTCGGCTGACAAGGCGGAGGCCCACTTGGGCTGGCAACAGCTCCCACACAAAAACCAAATGTAGCAATTGCCATGGAAGGGAATCGACCCATTGATCTCCTTATCATTAAGGAGAAAATTAAACACTAAGCTAGAGCTGGTTTGATGTTACAACTAACAGTTAGTGTATTTAACGCCTCTCTTCTTCTCTTTCCCTAAAATTTCTCAACTTCCCAAAACCATCCAACGCCGAAATATGAATTATCCACACTCAATTCTAATTAACTCCTAATCTATGTCCATCCCTACTATCCAGCCTTCTAATCAACTTATTTTAAGTTCTAACCTTTTTTTCTTTTACTTTTGTAGGGAATTTAATATTGATTGAAAATTTGAAATCATTAATCTTTGATTATAATTTTTAATTATGTCAACCCAAAACTTTGAAAAGGTAGTTCTAAGCGTAAAAGAAAACAGAGAATTGAGGAGCGAGGATACTAGTAGTCGATCTTGATGGCAATTCGAAAACTAGAAGTGAGGCTAAATCTTTGGCACAAAATGAACTTAGTGATATTGAGGTTATTGTTTCAATAGTTATTTTGTATGAAATATTGCACTCAACAAATTCGGTTAGTAAACATTTACAATGAAAATATATGCTTATTGATTATGCTATTTTATTAATAGATGGATTGATTTCATTTTTCAAAAGATATTGAGAAGATGAACGGGCTAATAGAGAATTTTATTTTAAATAATACTAGATGATTGTTACTTTTTGAACAATGATAGATAATATTATTACTTTTGTAATTATTTTCAAAACTTATCTAATTTTTATTTTTAATAATTTGCGAAGAAAAAATTTTGGGGACCATATTTTAAATTGTCGAACAGGGCCTCCGAATATCATGGGACGACCCTACTCAAGCAGGTAACTCCCAAATTTGATCTCGTTCCGCTTTAGTTAAGTAATGTGTGTGGAGATGTTCATGAATTATATAAAAAAAAAACGTTTCAGATAAGTAGGGTCGACAGACAACTCACTGAACTGGCCGGGAATTATGAGCTTCCAGCTTTTCAATTCGATCATGACCAAAACAGAAAGCTCACGTCACATGGGAGTATGGGCTTGATGTTACTAACACATCATTTGTGTCCAAAAATATTTTGTTCTTTCTTAGCCAGTACGTAGTGACCAATAATTCTAGCCAAGTCCAAGTAGCTAGACTTGAGGCCTCGATCGTTTTTATCTTTGAATATACAAAATCCTAGCTAGCTGGACCTATTGGTGTCTCCTTTATGTTGAACATGGATGGTGGATTGAAATGGTAAGAGTAAGGAAGGCCTTCTATATCTAATAAAAAAAATTAGTTACTCCATTTGATTCAATTATTTGGCGTCTGTTGGTCACTTCAGTTAATCAAATAATCAACTTCTTGATCTAATACACCCTTTCAATTTCTAACTTTATAACATTAGAATATAATTTAAATTATCGTGAACCTGAATTTTACTTTACCCTTCTACTAATTTTCTTTGATAGACTTCCATAAACTCGTGGTCTTAATCACTTCATATACCACTCAGAAGATTTTTTTAAGGAATTAAGTTGAACATAAACAATTCTACGAAAAAAGCTATTTTGACGGATTATCAAAGATCGATAAAGTTACATAGATTCGTGTTGATTATTCATTAGGAACTGGATGTGGAATCTGAAAGATGATCAATAACTGGGTGATACATTTAGAGCACGATCGAGAAGGTTTTGTAACATTCATAAATCAATCCTATATATATATATATATATATATATATATATATATAGTTCATATGAGGAAGATTTCATATCTTTCGGATGAGTCGAAGAAGATAGTATTTTTTTTTCTTGATGTATTAAGAACCACAACCTCTAAATTCTATATATACTAGTTTCACCTAAGTCCCCAATAAATTACTAAGTAAATAAGTATCCGATTTCCACATATTAGTTCCATATCAAATTTGAGTACGTTACCAACTCGCTATTCGACCATCTAAACAAATAACTGCTTACAAGTTACAACCTCTGCAACTCACATAACGTGAGGGATTAATTTCTCAACACTTACAAAATCGTCTAATATTTTTTTGTTTTGACAAAAGATAATCATATATTGATTCAAAATATCAGATTGCTACACCCTGGAATACAGCCAGGTCTGGAAATCAAAAGAACGACAAGTAGCCGGATACAAATAAAGGGTATTTCTATCCACCACATGGGCTACCCTCGCTACAAAAAAAGTGCCCTATACCGAGGGTTCAATAGCAAGGGTTCATCAAACCCCCGCTAACTTTTTCTGAACTCCCTCTTCCAGCGGTTTGTGGCAAGGGTTCATGATCCCCTGCTACTCACACAACTAATTCGAGACCTATAAACCCTCTCTCTGTTCCGTTCCTCGATTTGAAAACCTTCTTCAATCTACTTTTTCTTTCCAGCTCGATTTTCACCAAAGGCCAAGAATTCTATGTCTAGGGATTTGTTGTGATCCGAAGTCCCGAAGAGTTGCGATTTCGCTCGATTAAGAAGAATCACCGCGGGATTTCGATCGGAAACCCCCAATACGGTTCGAGATATGGCGACATTGACATCCTGAACTCGCTTCCTATCGTCAGAGTCAAATATTTGGCGAGATCAGTTTTCACATGGATCTCCGTCGCTAGCGATCGAGAATCCACACCAGAGCTCATAATTGCTCCGCCGAGCTTACCACTGTTCAAGCCAAAGCCAGAACTAGACAAGTCGGCAGGACCGCCCGCCATGCCAGAATTAGGAAGAAGGTTTTCATCGACTCCTGATTACGCTCTCTCGTCTTCTTTCGATTACACTCTCTCGTCTTCTTTCGATTATGAATTTAATCTCCTTTCGCTGGGAAATTTTGAATTTCTCGGGTTAAAGGCACTACGGAGCTGCCGAGGCTTCCCGTCTTCCGTTCGAACGAGCATTACTTCGTTCAGTTGAAGAAAGGAGGATTGGATACTTAGGAATTGGGTCCATCCTAATTCCTGCGGGGAATCAAAGACCTATCATGCCTAAGGTATTTTCAGTACTTTGCTGTCCAAGTTGATTGAAAATGGTTGTTTACTTAATTGTTTAAAGAGGCCATTGATGATTGGTGAGTGATGCTAAGCATAATTGTTTGAAAGGTGGACTCAGATGGTTGATTTTAACCTTGATAATGAGGGATATTGCTACTGAAAGATTGAATTAATATCCATGGTCATTTGATTAGTTTCTGCAATTTCGTACCCATAATTTTGTGCTCTTTGGAGCCTTTTTCCCCTTCAAATTTGTCTTTGGTTGAGCATTTATACGGTTGTTGAGATCAAGTTTGATTGCTATTGCACTAAATCATTACACAGGTTCATCATTGGTTCTGTTAAATATGTGGTTCTTTTGAAAGTAAAACACAGCTAGAATTTCTATCGTGAACTACTGGTGGAGAGTCACTAGCCATCTTCTCCAGATGCAGTAAAACACTTGCTTCATTGGAATGAAGGTCTACTGTTTCCTCTGTAGCTACTCAGTTTGATTGTGTTACTATGTTGTAGATGTGTTGTCCTATTTATTGTACACATGTAAAGGATGCTTTGGAGTCTGTGATGTGGATTCAGAAGACCCACTTTTGTAATTGCATAATTGATTTCTAGGGCTTTTACTGTAATTGCAGAATTGATTTCTTAAAGCATATCAGCGTGACAGCAGAAGTGGCAGATTCCTTGTCCAACCAAGGTGTAAGTGTTCATTAATATCCATAGGTGAATTTCTAAATCTGGACCAAGTTCTAATTTTCATGTTTCAGTTCAGTCTCGACTTTCTTTTTTGGATCTTTTTTAAGCACGCCGGGAAAAAGACAGATTCAGTTTAAAACATTTCAACTTGATATTGAACAGAATAAGAGATCTCGGGTCGAATAGGTATATCATCTGAACTCTCTATCTAGCAGCTTAATTATATTATTATTTAACTATATACCATTTCTAATGATGGAGCTACTATCATGAAGCTACTTGATATTATCCATCCTGCCGCTGAGATCCTCGTCGACATTGCCAAGTCCCAGGATTCCGAGGTGCTCTTTTTACATTGCTTTCTCTGTTTTTTTTTTGCGTTGAGATGTGAAACTATGTCTTGTTACAATGTGAATAGGGTTTTTCGATATGATGTTGTATGGAAGAGGAGCTTGTCGTTAAATTCACTCCCTTCTGCAAGTATATGTAGTATTAGAACATGAAACACTTCGAACTGATGCGACATTGTTGTTTTGAGGGTTTTGAATCATGGATTATAGAAGGACTAGACAGGGTGGTTTATTTGTTTCTGTGGCTAATGTGTCCGTTGATGTCTTAACTGGTAAATTTTATGTCCCTTTTTAATTCTTTGTGCTCCAGGTTGGCGACGGGATCACAACAGTGGTTCTTTTAGCCGCATAATTTTTAAGGGAAGCCAAACCTTTAACGAAGATGGAGTCCACCCATGGAATCTGATACGTAGTTATAGAGCTACCTGCAATTTGGTGTGTGACATCAAATATTCTCCTATCTTCTATCAACCTTTAGATGCTAATCTCTGTATACCCTACTCACTTAGCTGTTAAACATGCTAGGATATCGACAAGGTCAAAGGTTTAGCGACCAACATAAAAGGGAAGAGTCTGGAAGAAAAGAAAAGCTTACTTTCTAAATGCGCACAAACAACACTGAATTCTAACCTCATAGGTGGAGAGAAAGAGTTCTTTGCAACGATGGTTGTGAATGCTGTCATTGCAATTGGAACTGATGACAGGCTAAATATGATTGGAATAAAGAAGGTAAGTGCTTGGCCTTGACTGACATTGATGAGTTTGTAATGCAAATTAATTAATTGTGCTCTGTCATTGTACTAGGAGTATTACGTATTGCATTATTTGCTGTCTCGGAAGGGTTTCCAGGAGGTGTTTGAATGTGGATTCTGCACCAAACTCACTAATGCTGGGATTGTTTATAAGGTACAGGAGAGGAGGATTCTCAAGCACATATTATTTTGAGCATTTGAATTGCTTAATCTGATTTCTAAGCTAGCAATTTTAATGGATTTTCGATGAAAACCAATTCTCTGTTTCCATGGTTGCTAGTATTTGTTAGCCATTATAGATGGTTTTTTTGTTATGAATGATAATTTATCGCCGACTTCTAATTAGCTTTACTGCTTGTATACAACCTGATCGAAATAGCAGGACTGAAGAGGAATGGGAAGAGTTGCAGACTGATCAGGTGATAGTTACTTGAGGCCAGGCATGAAGAGAGGCCAGATCACTCCATAGGAAGAGAGCATTATTGTGGAGTTGCATTCCGATTGGGGGAACAGGTATATTACAATCAATGATCAGTAATCACTTGAGTTGAACCTTCTACAGAGTTCTAATGAATTTTTTCAATATTATAACCCTGATCTTTAAATCAGTTTCTTTAAATCTAGACAAACTAATCAAGGGATTAATGGATGATTAATATATTGACTAGATTTTATCTTATTTGGCTAGGTGGTCCACTATTACGAGGAGGCTGCCAGGAAGAACGAACAATGAGATCAAAGTGCCAGCTTCTCAGTTTCTGCAGTCATGTTCAAAGGTTATAATCGTTGTTTATAGTTTGCTTCAAGAGCATAGATTTAAATCTTTGGGGTTTTCCTATTTACAAAGTGATCTGGCTCTTCTAGTTGATATAGAATGACATTTATGACCAGAATGTTGAGCTTGTTAATGTTAAAAAAAACAGGGTTTACCAATTATATTAGAATGACCAATTGTATTATAATGTTCGGGTTGTTGATGTAAAAAATCAGTTTTTGTTCCAATTATATTAGAACGTTTGTATATAGTGATATATAGTGATATATAGTGACAGGAATCAGTATTTGCGATGAAAATGTCGTTGCTAATGAGGAACCTCTTTTTAGGATGCAACGGTAATGATGGTTCTACCAACAATATAATGACCAAAATACCAGTATCTGCAACCAAAATTTCGTTGCTAATGATGCACCTCTCGTTAGGATGACACTTTAGTGACCATTTCGCTTTGCACACAAATGGTCATAAAGTTTTAGTGACGAATTATGCAAGGGTTTTAACCCTTGCTATGAATATCTTCTCATTGTAATTTACATTAACGTGTAGCAAGGGTTTTAAACCCTTGGTACATTGGCAAGGGTTTTAACCCTTGCTACAACCCTTGGATGGGACTTCCACCGTGGGTTGCTAAAACCCCTTGCTACACGTAGCAGGGGCAGCATTGGCGAGGGTTCGTCCAGGGGTTGGTAAAACCCTTGCTACACTTTGTAGCAGGGGTTAAAACCCTTGCTATAGGTCAAAAAAACCCTTGGCATAGACTCTTTTTGTTGTAGTGCCTATTGCTATTTCGACCTACAAATCGTAAACTAAACCCAGAGTGAGTAGCAAAGTTGTTATAAACGCGCTGCTACGGATCGGGAAATCGCCGGAATCGACAAAGCAAGAATACGAAAGCGAGAATCGAAAGAACACAGACACACGATTTACGTGGTTCACTAACACGATGTGTGTTAGCTAGTCCACGGGCGAGAGAGAGCCAGTTTCACTATATCTGAGGAGATTACAGATTACAGAGGAGTATGAGAAGTATTTATAGTACTTCTCCATGTGGGTCTAAACCTAATCCAATCTAGCAAAGGAAACGGTTACAGCGAGACCCCCGATTACCAGTCGTAGCGGCTGATAATCCGATTCAAGTCATATCAACACAAAGTAATGCATAATTTCCTCCAATAACCACAAATCTACTATCTCTGGTATCTGCCCGATTTATCTTCTCGATGACGACCTTAGCATCACCTTCAAACTGGACGTTCTAGAAGCCACGATTCATGCACCAATAGACCGCTTCCCGGAGGACAAGTAATTCAACTACCATTGGATCCTCAACTAACCTAAACTAAGTCCCTTGAGCCATAAGGACCTCTCTATTTCACAATAAGCTTGTATTTTTTTTTTTTTTTCCCACACATGCTTCCACTCTTAATTACTATTTTTTCAATAGACGTGTTAGATGTTACAATTCCTATCTTTTACTAGTGACGTGGTAAGCATAATCACCTTGAGGACTCGAAGGCCGAAGCTTTTTTTCTTTTTTTCTTTTTTGACAACAGAAGGCCGAAGCTGGTAATAAGTAACTGGCCAAGTGAAACAAATTGAGGAATAATTGGTTGACGATAATTGACAACCGAAGTTTCCTATATATGTGCGTATCCTTCCTTCCTGCTAATATTTATTTGCAACTGGACAACACATGTTATTGTGTGTATACGAAACGAAAGGGAAGCGACGTTATGGTTCAATCAATGGGCCTTGAGGGGATCCTTTGTCGTGTAATTCATTTGGTGAAAAGAGCCGACATATATATATATACGGGATGGAGATCCTTCAAAGATGAGCCAAATCACATAGATGATTCCGGAATTACATACTTTTTTTCCACGAATGATTGCATATATATATAGATTAATATAGTTTAGTCATATTATTAACATGGTTGGAAGGGAAACTGATTATGCAATCCATTGGCATGTTAAATGTTAATAAAATAAAAATTATTTATTAGAAAGTATGAAAGCATGATAAATCAATTCGCATATTTGTTGTGTTTTTTTATACATTTTGTTAATTTATGGGCTGTTTGTTTATAAGATTTGAAAAATGCGCACTTTGATTAAAAATTAATTTGGAAAAAAATGGAGAAATTATTTTATGGATTTGAGCCATCGGAGATTTGATAAATTTGTTGGATTTTTTATCATGCATTGGGTTTGCCGTTTGTGAGTTTAAAAGTACGTTTACCTCACTATTTTCAAATATAAATTGAAGTGAAATTATTAGGGGTATATAAATAATATGAGGATATCGTATTCAAATACTCTCGAAATCTCAAACTTTTTCCAACAAGAACTACTTTCTTACCACCAAAGGCAACTTTTATAAAATAGAAAATGCCGGTCCATAGCAAGATTCTTTTCTCTCTATAAAAATATAGATATCCTCTCCACCATTAGTTCTGGTTGGCCTTATTTTGTTTATCACCTCGATCCCCCACTACTATAATATATTCATGAAAAAGAAGTTGTCACGATTGTTTCTCTACGGATCGAGAAACAGGAGGATTTGATAAAGCAAGAAAACAAAACACAAGAACGTACATATATGACACACGATTTACATGGTTTACTAACAGAAGAGAGTCAGTTTCACTATACTACTTCAAAGATATACAGATTACAGAGACCCCATAACATCCAGTCGTTAACAAGATAGTCCGATTCAAGTCACATCGATCAACAGAAATCACCGGACACCATTTTGTTTAATTGGTTTTGACGTGAATCGGAAAAAATGTCACTTTCCTCCCTACCCACTTTGGTGTGTTCCGCGTGCAGTGTGTAAATATATATAATAGAAGAGGTTAGGCGCCGTTGTCACCTAAATCAGTTGATTTCCTATCCTTCCTTTTTTTTCTCTCCTTCTGTGTGTGGTCACCATGTCCCACCACCATCCACAACAACGAGTAGCTTCTTCTCGTGGTGGCCTCTCGACCATCAACAAGATGAGGGTGGCCGTCGTGTTGTCCGTTGTATGGTTCATGGCAGCGGCGGCGGTGGCGGAGCTGCCGCGGCTGGAGCACAGCGGTTCGAAGTACTTCAAGGCCGGCAACGGCGACGGATCCCTGGCCGTGTTGGTGGTCGGCGACTGGGGCAGGAAAGGAGCCTACAACCAAACTCAAGTTGCCACCCAGGTACGCAATCTCTCCATCCTTCTCTTCTTTCTTCTCGCAACAAGTTCAAGTTCTGACAGTAAATAATTAATATGATAGTATATTTTACCCAATGCAATGGCTCAAGGATGCTGGGTAGATAAAAAAAAATAACTGGACAGGCATTGCACTGACCATTCATGTACTGACACGTTGCCAGACTTTTTGTCGTTTTGTTCAGTTTGTCTTTATGGGGGTATATATTGGTTTTCATAGAGCATAATTCGAGGTAGATTCCAATATGCCCATTGGTCGCTTTTTTGGCCTAGGGACTTGGTTCGAACAAACAAGCCTCCTCCTGCCGACATCATTGTTGATTTTTTCTATATGCATAGTTGAAAACGAAACCAAGAAAAGAGAAGAGGCTAGCTTAGCGTTAGGGCTGGCTATTTGGTCCCGTTTGGTTTTACTCGAAACAGGACCATATAACTCGAACTGGAACCGGACTGGGACCGGATAGCAAACAATCCAATCTCATATTCGAGCTTAGATTTGAGGTAAAAAAAACTCGGATAAAGACCGGATAAGAGACCCCCAACACCTAAAATCAAGATCAAATTGGGACCGGACCGGGTCAAGACCGGACCGGGTCAAGACCGGACTGTATCCAATCCAATCTTTGGCCCTTATGTTCCCGAAAAGATCGGACTGGGACCGGATCAATTTGTTCCAATTTAACCGGACCGAACTGTATAGCCACTCCTACTTAGCGTGACGTGAATATAATGGCTCTCAAATACGTGTTGTTTTGTCTAATTAGTAATTGCCGTAGGAGACAAGCTAGCCAGCTGCGACAAGGGCAAGAAAGCTCTATGGAAAAAGGGTGAATGATTCCTTCCCAACAAGAGGATGATTAAGTTAGTGAATGGGGGAGGTGTTAACTATAAATAAAGGACAGAATGAACAAGGCTAATTACAGGAGAGAAAGCCAATGATGAAAATTGGGTAATCATACAGAGCAATTAGCATAAATGGGTGGGTTAGCTTTTAGCATGTTTTTTTGTTGTGACGTGGAGTTGATAAGATATGATGGTGTTGGAAAATCAGCCTGTTTTGGTTCATGGATGGATAGCTTAGTTTAGTTGGGTGGCCAGGTGGGAGTAGGACATAAAAAAGATCATACTTTAAATCACAAACAAGCAAATTAGAGGGTGGGTCACTCGCAAATCGCAATCCACCAACCAACAAGCAAACAATTCTTTTTCTTTTTTCCCTTCGTATAAATAATATAAATAAGGGTAATGTCTATTTTTTATCCAAATCTTTTTTAGATTCTTTTATATTATCTAAATTTATAAAATTCTATTAATTAGTCAAATCTTTCATAATGCATCAAAATAGTAACCATTTTTACGTTATCGTTGATAATTTTATAACTCTTTTCTTAGTTAAAATCAGTGTCCATGAAATCGTACCGTACCGACGGTTCAACCACAAAATACCAGTATCGGAGGCTAAACCGGTAGGCGGTATTTAACGGTATAACGGTTGAACTATGGTTAAACCACGGTTTTACCATAAAATACCCTAAAACTTACTTTCCCAGTACGATCTCCGGTACGGTTTCATGGACCATGGTTAAAATACTAAAATTTTAGATCTCTTCCAAGTCAGTATCATGTTGTCAAATCAATATTACTAACAAAATTGCTAACTGAAAATTAACATTTAACTAATTTTTACTATATTGATAGGTTTGAATAATATAAAAAAATCTAAAATTTTTTTGGATAAAAAATAGACATTACCGATAATTAACAAACAAACAAATTGATGGGTAAGTGTCGCAGGCTCACAGCTTTCTTCCCATTTTCTAGGATTGCCAATTTGCCATTATTGTATCGTTACCCATACCCACAACTGTTTGTTGCACATGCACGCATCCTGCCTAAAACAACCCACGATTGTGACACCGTAACGAGATTTGTATGTGACAAAGTTCCACGCCTAACCGTTTAAGCTACAATAGAGTTATAATGATTAAAAAAAAATCACAAAATCGTCACGGTGTCACATGATCAAATCATCGCCTACTTCGCCACGTACCTGCATTGGCTAGACCATCATGCCTTGAACAAGCTAATTCACTGCCGTGGTAATTCCTCAATTGCTAATTACTGGGACACAATTTTTTTTTTTTTTTTTTTACCTTTTCACAGATGGGGGTAACTGCAGAGGCAGTAAAAATCGACTTCGTGATATCAACCGGGGATAACTTCTACGACGACGGATTAACAGGAGTTCACGACCCCAATTTTTACCATTCATTTGCAGACATCTACACAGCACCCAGCCTGCAGAAGCAGTGGTACAACGGTAACTAATTTACCCCTCCTCCCTGGCTTGTTTCATCCCCCATAATAGCAGTAAAAAAGTTCGACTAGGTGAATCCTTTTCTTTTTTTTAACCTAGTAACCGCATGCATGATTCCAGTTTTGGGGAACCACGACTACAGAGGCAACGTAGAAGCACAACTGAGCACAACCCTACAAGAGAAGGACCCCAGATGGCTCTGCATTAGATCCTTCATTCTCGACACCAAGCTGGCCGAGTTCTTCTTCGTCGACACCACGCCCTTCTCCGACAAGTACTTCACCGACCCGGAGGACCACGTCTACGACTGGAGCGGCCTACTCCCTGACCGAGCTACCTACCTGTCCAACCTCCTGGCTGACCTGGACTCTGCTCTCAGGTCGTCGAAGGCAAGGTGGAAGATCGTGGTGGGGCATCACACGATCAAGAGCGCGGGCCACCATGGCAACACGGTCGAGCTGGAGGCTCAGCTGCTGCCCATCTTGGAGGCACACGATGTGGATCTGTACGTGAATGGGCATGACCACTGCCTGGAGCATATCAGCAGCAGCCGGACCAAGCTTCAGTTTCTCACCAGTGGGGCAGGGTCGAAAGCGTGGAAAGGTGACGTTAGCTCATGGGATCCCAAGGAGATGAAGTTCTACTATGATGGTCAGGGGTTCATGACGCTTCAGATCTCGTCGGATGAAGTTCGTGTTGTTTATTATGGCATCGACGGTGAAGTCCTGCATCAATGGAGCACATCAGAAATGTCAGTCTCTCGGATGTAGTAGCATCAAAACCACACTACTACTGTTACTAATTCAGCGATATTATCAGTCGAGTATCCCTCACTACGTGATCCTGGCCTTCCATTGTAACTTTATCACTGTAATTAGGAATGACATCTATGATACAGTTAATTCCATGGACTTTTAGTTATCACTTAGAAAGGGTAACTTGTTCTAATCTTAATCGATTAAGAGACTTTAGGTCGCCTTTCATTGGTCATCAATGAATGACAGTCTAGCTTGATACCAGATGGGGATGGTACTCGCTAATCTAAACACATCACATGAATAAAAATAAATGACAGTCTAGCTTGATAAGAGATGGACATAAAAAGCGGGGTATGAAAAAGAAGTACCATGTTCTGCAGAGTGGCAAAAGTCGAGACCATTACAAGGGAACTTTGTATATGATTTGTTGTGTTCGCCAATGAGGCAAGCTCATTACCAACTCTTTCTGCAGTCTACGAGAATAGTGTTCCAGTTCATCGACAGCAACAGTGAACTCGGTCCAGTCGAATTCGTACAGATAGCATCTATCATCACGAAACATCTTATTTGCCAGTTCATTATCCTTCACAAACATGAATTTCAGAGAGGCAATCTTTCCTTGCTGCAACTCAGACAGTAACCATACCTCCCTCCTTTTTGCAACTCTCAGAGAATTCACTTGCGCAGGGGCCTTCCACCACAAAAATTGTACCACCTAAGCAACAACAAAACTGTGATGAATTTTTCTAACCACAACGAAAAAGACACAAACTTTAGCCTATGATGGGTTTATATAACTTTTCTGGCTAGACAGTTCAATACTGAACACATGACCCAATAATCTTAAGCACACCAATTTTGATCTGTGTACGTTACCTGTAGCGCATGCAAAATGTTGGTGAATTCTTGCTCAAACAGCACCTTACTCCTTGCTAGTTGCAATGGTCGTTCGAGCAGTTCAGAGAAATCAGAACAGGATAACTGTTCTTCGGTAGAGTATATATCAAACCCTGCACCGTAAATCCTTGCACAACATATATTAAACCCTGATTCTTCATTCTGCTCTTGACCCCGACAAAACCAGTACATATTGCTGGAAGCTGGCCTTGGCAGCAGCAACTCTTCAGATTTGCTTGAAGAGCAAGGCATGTTTGAAGACAGAAGGGATATAAGTTTGGCATCTTCATCATGTGCACTGTCGCGGCTGAACCACATTGTAAGTGTCAGTCTTTCTCCTTCAATTATCTGCCGATTGATAGATCTCCAAGCTAAAATCAGAACACAGAAAACAAATGCAAAACCATATGCAGCAGGCAATAGGGGACTTCTTCAACTATGTGTCAAGAATACCTCATCCACCGAATGAACGTTACGATCATCAGCTGTATAGATCGAAACAGCCTGTAATGGATGCATCACAAGATATCAGACTACAATTCACTTCACATACACCATTCTATTACTGCATTTGTAACTGAAAGGGAAGTCGAAATGTTTACCCCGGCGGCTGGGACGAGAGTATTCGGGTGACCATCCCGGAAGTGGAAAAGACCACCTTTGAAATCCTGGCCATAAGTGTTCAAATAGCAGACTGCCTTTGTAAACAACAGAAGCATAACAAAAAAAGGCAAACAGTGAGCACAAGATCCAACAGAAAAATGGTGAAACAGAAAAAGAGAAGAGGCATAGAGGCAGGTACAGTGAAGTGACGCTGTTTGAGGTAAGGCCTGTTGTCATCAGTGTGCCAGCCGATGCTTGCGCCTCGAGTCCAGCTGCAATTGCAGCAAGCAGGGGCGTGATGATAACCAGGAACTAAGAGCAAAGCATATATGCGAGAGAATTTGAGAGAGAAGGAGAGAAATGGGGGTTAACCTAATTAAACCGGTGAACTCGACGGAGAGCTCGTACTCGCAGCCGAAGAACTCCTCGACCTTTTCTTTCAGGCGGTCACGGATGGAGAGGAAAGGGATGATGAGGTGCGGAGAATTGGTGGCGATGAGGTGAGAAAGAGTGGTGGAGAAGACGTTGGGACGGTAACCGACGGTGGAGCAGCTCCGATGAATGAATTCCAATTCCTACCAAAATTCCCCAATTCTTTCAAGTTGGGGGCAATTAAATGGGAAAAAAGATTCGATCGAAGAAGAAGGAAGAGGCGGAAACCTTGCACTCTTGAAGGGAGAGGAAATCGGGGATGATGAGACGCGCCTGATTCTGTTTCTCGCCGGTGGTATCGTCTCCCATCCTCTTTCTGATTCTGATTCTGTTCTCGCCGGCGGTATCGGGGATGATAAGGAGTTAAAGTTACCGAAATCCGAATCGCAGTTCCGGAGGCAGGGCCGACGCCGGCGGCCTGGGGGCTCGGGAGTCTTTATGTTCTGTTCTCTATTGAATTGATGTGTTATTAAAAAGGGATTATGGCATTTTAGTCCATATACTATAATTTTTTTGACAAACAAACTCTATTAGACATAGATAAGTACACTAAAATGGTAAGAATCTTGAATACTAGTAAGGTCGGACTGTGTTTAGTAAGTATGTTCTTGATGATTGACATGTATGTACTTCGCAATTTTGCATTTAGGTAATGGTTTGGTGATTAACAAGCTATTTGCTCATCCCTAATTCAAGATGTGTTTACTATCCATAATCAATATTGGCTTGTAACAAATTTGGATGAAACTTAAGCTCCATGTTGAGTGGAGTTCTCTCTTTGAGTCTTATATCTAAACTAAGTTTTTCCAACGGTAACTTTAATCATTTTGAGATAGTGATAGGTGTAACTAGCTTATCCTAGAGCGTGCAATCGTTTCGAGAACAAGCAATCCCTCTTATCACCATAACCACAACGACCGAATGAAGACTAGGTAACACACTACAGAAGCACAATAATGAGAGATTGTCCCCGCTAAGAACATCAAAGAGTAGGCTAGGTGATGATATAATGATGTCAAATATTAGATGGAAGGAGAATGAGGCTGAGGTTTTCTCATCCAAATCCGAACTGATCCTAGTGAGTGACTGAGTGGTACTTCTGTAATATATAGTGAGACACCAAAAAATGTATCAGAGTAGACAGGAAACATAGAAAAAAAAAAAGGGAAGTAGAGAGAAATGGTAAAAGAGAAACACAGCCAAAAGCTTCTCTTACCATCATCTCCTCCCTCCAAGCTCTTCTTCTTCTTCTTCTTCTCCCCACCATCTCCATTCAGTCTCCCCCACTCAGTTGTAACTAAGTATGAGATGATCCATGTCAAATAGTCTCCAATGTTTCGCCGCTCTTTACATTTTTCGCTTTCAAACTCATTGCTTACCACCATTACTCCTACTCTCTTCTCTCACCTGCCAAAACCTCTCTCTCTCTCTCGCTACACTCCATTAGCTCCGGTCACCTGCTCTTCTGCCTTGGCTGCCACTCCATTGCATTCCTGTTTCAACGGGGCCTTCACTCCTTCACTAGGCTTCCCTTGCCCGCTTTCTTTCTCAGGTGGGGAAGGAGCCGAGTCTGCAGCAGCAGTTTCATTTGCTGCTGGAGGCAGGAAAACGCCGGTCCCAGGGACGGGCACCAGGACAGTTGGCAGGCGAGGTGAGGGATGCCTTTGACCAGCTGCTGCTGCCCAGGTGGCTGGAACAGGAGTATGGATGGGGACTGGGGAAGGAAAAGGCACCTGTGCGGCCATTGGAGAAGTTACAAAGAGTGGCTGAACACCATTCTGATGATGAGCTCGAATCGATGGTGCAGGCAGTACACCAGTTGTTGGAACATAGTGCTTTGGCCCAGCATAACGAACATGATGAGTTGGCGATCTACTTGGCGGTGGACCCCAGTGAGAGGATGAATGGGCTGCTGTGGTGGATAATGGTGTATAACGCTGTGACGAGCCATCACCAGGGGAAAATTTCCTAGGCAGGGACTTGGTGAAGGTGATGAGAATTCGCTGCTTTCGAAGTGCAGGAAGTGCATGCCTTGCATAATCAGAGGATTTCCCTTGCAACACCAGAAGCGATCTGTGAAGCAACATACATTAGTGACTAATTCAGAATGAAACAGATGCAGGTGGCTTTGAAATACTAAAACAAGGTTGTACCCACCCAGGCTCAGCAGCTAGCTTGAGAGAGCCTCTGTAGTCCCCAGCATGGTCGGAATTTATCGTTCTGCCAAACACCATCTCACATCCAGTCAAGCAAAGAATGGCCACAGGTCTTCCATACCATGAAGGGCACATGTAAGGCTGCGAGTGGTCACCCTACAGGAAGTTTTTCAATAAAAGATTAACATACAGGCTAGGAAAAACCATTTCGGCTACAGGACGCAAATATATAACTTGGTAGAGTTGAGCCACCTCGTTGAAAATATTGATCATGCACGAATCTGGCTTTGTGGTCATGATTTGTGCGCCAACCATACGGTCAATGACATCTTGCAACAGGGGAGGGATTGGTTCGATTTTCTGGTCTGCAACATTCACTCAACATGAAATACTAGTTGGACTTTATATCCACAATCAAGGATTAACACAATTATTGCAAAAGAAACTGCAACTTGCCTTTAGGGGTTTCTTCATCTGCAGGTGCATCAGCTATAGGAAGACCCAGTTGAATCATCTCTCTTCCATGTCCTCTCATCGGTCGCCTTGAGGCAACATATGTTTGACCTGCTTCACAGAGAGCACAAATTACCCTAAGTCATTAGTAGCCTCATCCAACTATTCCTTTGATAAACTCCCATTCGATGATGCAATTAATACATAGATATGGAGAGAAACAACCATGACTTATATTTAACCGAAAAATGAAACCAAGCATCCAAACCATGCACTGAAAGGTATGAGAAAAAAAAACACAAAATGACCTAACTGAACTTCCAGTAACTTTGACGCTCAATGGGCTCCAAAGTTAGAAACACAATGAATGTATCATGAATAATTGATAATCTTATTTATAACCAACCTGCCAGTAGCTGTTCCAAGATATATTCATGGATACTGATAAAAATAACAAAATTCTCCACCTAGGATAGGGTCCGGGATAAATGATTCAGAGTGAACAACTTGAAAGGAAATCTGATAATAAACTTACCTTGAAATTTCCCTGCTCTACCTGCAGCCTTCAGATCATTAACCAACGAAACCAGTTTCGGGATTTCGGAGTCGTCAAGCAAACGCTCATACATCTTTAATCCATCGACAACATTAACCTACAGCAGAAATCAGCACATCTTAAGAGAAGGGAAAGAAGAAGAGAAACCCCAAGAAAGAGAGAATCTACTATCAAGAATCAGTCCTTCAGAAAAAGAACAGAAATACTGAAGTCATTCCGTCACAAAAGTTACCGCCTTTCCATCAATTATCTCTGTTCCAATGAAAGTCTTTGGACTGCCACTGGGATTTGGCATCTCATTCTGATTCTGACTGATAACCGAGTTGCTCTCTGCAGATGAGATTTTGCATTACCACAAGAAAAGTTCCAAACTAGAAAACACTCAAACAACAAAACAATGACAGGCATAGTATTAATAATGACAGCGTGATACCAACCAAAAGGAACTCCTTAGAGAGAACAGAGTGATAATGAACCTTTTTTTTTTTATGAGTGATGATAATGACCCCTAGAGGCCTGACATACACAAGTGCTAATTGGACTTAACTCGGAAAAGTTTATTTTCCCTCATTCTCTGCAGATGTCAATTTATACAGCTCGAGGAGTAATCATGTCATTGCTCACCCTAACCCACCACAATGGGAAAAGAAATACAAAGGCAGAAATGAGGAAATGGGCACAGCTTGCCAGCCAAAGAGATAACGAAGGAACACCTTTGAGGATAAGTTGATCATCAGCAGCCACAGGCTCAGGTTCCGAATTCCCAGACACGGTTTCTTCTGAGGTTCGACCACTCTTTAATTGGCTATCCTTGTGTGGCAATGTGGTAACATCTGCTTCAATAACCAGAAAGTACAGGTATCAGTACTTCCTCCAAAAATGTTCAAGGTATGGTGACAATCCATGATTTTATGCACAAGCATTAGGATTTCGAGGATGCAACTCGATCAACGCATTTTAGGCATAAAGTTCACCATGCGTAACCCAGAATGTCTCACCAGGCAATTAGCAAATCAACAGATTACCAGCTGTGATTTTCTCAACACTTGTATTGTCTTCCCTATGAGAGTTCCTAGTAGCTTAACAAGAAGGACACGATTGTGTGTACCTAAAGGCTTAGAAATAAAGACTAATGGATCTTTCTTTTCCCACTTTTAGGAAAAAGAAAAAACAATTCAAGGTGAGGGGCTACTACTGACACTCTCTAATTGTCATTGTCGCTTTCATTTCTTTTGGGTCAAGCATGCCAGAGGGAGAACCTAATTTGGCAATTGAACCAATAATGTTGATCACCTGATCATGGAAAGAGGGTGTCAAGTAACCTTCCAGAGTTCAGTATAGCAGTCAACTTCAGTGTAGCAATATGCAGTATATATACATTTATAAGAGTCGTCTGGTCATATAGCACAACAAATTGTCACCACAGGTGTCCATTGCAGTAAAGTGCAAAAAAATTGCAACAGAAACCACAAATACCATGGAGCTTTACTCAAATTCTGAAGAAAAATCACATCGATGTACAACAGAATTTCAATCTAAGTGAGTTGGACGCTTTCCTTATCGGTCAGTAACACACAAAGGTCCAAATTTACCAAGAAAAGTCCCTTCCATAATCCATCCTTGCCTCCATCTAAGACCCTCTATACCAGCACATATATAGATATATTGCCCATTTAGGAAAGATCCATACTTCTTCAAATCATTCAATACATGACAGGTAGTTCCTAACACATTCAATACTGTCATTTAAGTCTCAAAATGGCCAAATGTAGGTATGCAGAACAGTTCTATCATAAGCCAGGGTTAATGGAAGCATACACCATGCCGTAAACACTAAACAGAAATCAGTAGCAAACATAAACCAAAGTGATTACCTTTCTTATCCTGGGCAACTGTTGAAACCTTCTCGTCCATTTTACCATTAGTCGCACCTGATTTAGGATCCTCCTTTATCTCACTACTTACATTTCCTGAGCCATTGCCATCTAAATTGTAACTCTCTAAACTAGTACGAACAAACTCTTTTGGTGCTTCACTCCCTCTATGCCCTTTGTTAAACCCTGCACCACCAAAAGACCTCTTGAATTCTTTGGCACCAGCCCTGGGCTGATCAGAATAGTATCTATTGTACTGGTGCTGTTGCGGTTGTTGCTGCCGCCTTAACACTACCTGCTGCAATGCGAATACCACCTCACCAACAGAGAAATACTGCTGCATATGAAGCACCGGGTTCCAGTTGAACCTCCTTTGCTGAATACAACCTATAGCTAAATCATAGTCCCCTGGCTCACCGACAGCCCTTAGATGGTGGCAGAGAGCATCAATCATCGCATTTGCAGCGGCGAATTCCCCTCTCAACCACGAGATGAACCCATCACGCTCGTCCACCGGGAACCACTGCTGTCGAGGGTGGATCTCATTAGCTCCGCCGCCACCACCCACACTGCCACCAGCAGCAGCAGCAGCATACTGCATTTTATCCGACATCACCACATTACCTGATGGAACAGCCATATCCTCAAAGAAAACCCCGACAACTAACCCACAATTTGTACGACTATCAGGCAGAAAACATGGCCAGCTAGAAAATCCTCAGATCTCTATCAGATTACTGGAGCTCCAGAGAATTGTCCTAGAATCTCCTTTAAAACCTCCAGCTAAATCTCTCACCTATTTTCAAAGCGGATCGCACAAAATCAAGCTGGGAATCAGCTCAAAATAACGCAAAACAAGCAAATTCAAGAGCCAAGATACGAAATTTACTTCATAATATCATTCATTAACTAGCCAGTGGGGAGAATCGTAGCTCAGCATTAAAGAGAATCCAGCAAACAGAGTAAAATCGGTTAATATATGTTCTTGTCCAGGTAAACTGATGAATGAATGAATGAGCTTAAGGAAAACCCGAGAGAGAATGTGGGTTTAAGAAATCAGATAGATCTGGAAACTGGGTTTTGGAAGAATCAAAGGAAAGTCTCCAACTTTACGTACGTTTGGGGTTGTGAAGTGAGTGAGTGTTGGGTAATGGGTACAGTTTGGGTTGTTTTTCCTTCCTGCCTTTTTCTATTCTATTTTTCTCCCCCTTTTGACAGAGAGATGAATGATATGGGGAAGGAAACCTTGAAAAGCAAGAAATGAAAAATAGAAGTCAAGCCTTCCTAACAACTGGAGAACAAAAAGAAGAGATGGGAAAGGATCTAGGGTTTTGGAGCTGCTGTTGGCTGGTGGACTGGTGGGGAAGGTGTCTTGTTGTGAATAAATAGTGATGAAAAACTGGTGACCTCATGGAAAAATTCCTTTATTTTGCATTACGTGTCCTTCATTTTTCTTTCTGCTGCTAAATGGTAGTGTTAAATTTTAGTTTGTGGTACCGTACAAACTTCCCAATGTATTGAGAATATGTTTGTATCTTCATGAACAATATGATAAATTGACGACCCGTGGTATTATCAACCGGTATATGTCTATAACTTTATTTAAAATATCGGTATACTTAGTATGCTACCAGATTTAATCAAATTTAGACTACTAAATTTTAGTGTGCTTATTTGTTACATACAATCTCATATAAATTTTCAGAAAGCCAATGGGGAAGATGGTTTCTTTAATGGTGGGTGAGGCTACATTACAAGAGAAGAGTGGAGGAGAAAAACGTGCCTTTTTCCTTTGTATTATTATTTGCTAAGAAAGGTTTAGATTCCATGTATTTCTCACCTTCCTCCCCTTGGCTGGTGGTGGGCTGTTATGAATTGAAGATAGGACCATCAACAGAATATCCTATTTTTTGCTATTGCTGAAGGTGCTTGGGCATTTTTACATTTGCTGAATTTTTGGTTTAGTTGTTATTATAATTTGCACTGCGATTGAAAGATGTATATCTCCATAAATAGAGGCAAATTCGTTCTCTTTTCTTACAATAAAAAATCAGATTATTTGACTAGTTTATTTGTTGATCTGATTGAACATTATGGGTAAACTATTTTTAGGTTTTATAAACTTTTTTTGTTGATGGCCATTGACACAAGATTATCCTAGATTTAAGAAGCATCGATATAGCATTAGGGCAAAGTTTTTAGCCGAAGCCACTTCAATCGTCATCCATGGTTCTTTGAGTAAAGACATTAATCCAAGTTTAGTTATCAATGGAATCACTACAACAGAAATGGGCTTTTATGATGAAAGTAAATGGTCACGAAATGTCAAATTTTAGTCACAAAACTTATTTAGTTACCAAATTTTTTTGGTTGAAGCTTTGGTCACATTCGCCCCGTTAGGAAAAGTAATTCCTGACCAAATCTTTGATTTGGTCACAATATATATAAATTTGTGACGAAATACAGTAATGGTCACAAAAATAATTTTTTATGTGACCAAAGTAATTGGTCATAAAAAAACTGTCAAAATTGTCATGAAAAATATGCAATTGGTCACAAATATTATAAAAGCTAACCAATTTATTTCTCTTTTATTGACCAAATGAAAAAGTCACAAAATCAATTATTTATAACCAATAAATTTGGTTATCAAACTGTGATCCATAACTAATTTAATCATCTTTGAGTAACCAAAAGTAATGGTTATGGAACTGTTGTCGCAATCATTATTTTTGGTTAGCATATGTTCTAATTGTGACATTATTTTGGCCATTAAAAGTATATTTTGTGACCAATTTACTAGTTTTGAAGCAATCATTATATTGGTCACAAGGTATTATTTCCTACTGATATCTTATGGATACTATATATTCTAAAGTTGATATGCTACAATAATATGACCATTAATTTGGTTTTCGAAATAGCATAATGCATCAATATATTGTTACAATAACAACAATTCACATCAATCAAAAGAGATTGTTTTCAAAATATTGTCACATCACATTGGCCCAAAATCTGGCGTTTTATTCATAAAAAATTATACAAGATCTGCAAACTCCCTCTTGTGCGACTTTCTCCATGTTACGAGCACTGGACACCTACATCACTTTCAGAAGTAGTATAGATGCGAGCTTAATGACTCCCACGATTCAATAATGCCAGGCAATTTCAACTTCTGCTCCTGATTTAAGAGTAAAAAGGAACAAACAGTAATAATTAAAAAAGTTATATTAGTGCTTAGTGACTGACAACTAATAAAGCCCATTTCTATTTTTATGTACCGAGAATGAAAGGAAAGAATAGAACAGAACTTGCACAAAAGAGACTAGAGATACTTACATAGATAGCCTCTTCAGTTCATCTTGCCATCCTCTCGACTCATAATAGTAAGCTCTTTTATATATGGTGATCTGTTCACGCTCTCCTCCATTATTGGAAGCATTTTACAAAAAGAAAACGAACATACTGCTTAGGATTGCTGAACTAGAAAATGCATAATGACCAAGAGTTTACAAGCAATTTTCCTTCCTAAATTCTTTTGGGCAAAGTCATTTGGACGAAGTAGGCGAGATTTTGCCAAGTGAAAAACCAGAGAGCTTCAAGTTGGACATCCTCTTCTCCTTACAAACATATATATAAGCTTACCAATTTTCTGATGTACCGGCCTCTTCTTATCCTTTTAATAGTGTTGTCCTCTTCCATAGCTCCCCTGTGCAGGACCTGCAGAATTGCCCCACCAGAAAAGTTAGTATTGTTCTTTGTCATCTCCATTTCTGAAGTTTCCATCACTAGTTACCTCAACCAGACTTTCCAATCGCTTCTGCATCTTCCTCTATATTAAACCTCGTATGCACTGTTGAAAAGATGTGAGCAGAAGTGTACAGTGGTTATTGTTAGTTGCCTGGGGAGTTTGAGGTAAAGGGAAGGGAGTGGGTGCTTGAGGCATAATGACAATGGCTCGATAATCACTGGACCTATAACAAAGATACAAAGTGGCTACATCACAAACTTGGATGAGCACCAGTAGCTGCTAAGATCAATTTCCCAGCAACATCCACCATTTACAAGCATAACATATAGGTGTGGAAGAATAGACGGAACCATGAAAATCATAGTTTACAACTTCTTAGTTCCGCCTAAAGCATCAGTAGCAAAACACTGTTCTTAAATGGTTCAACATGCAGTAACTCAAGCACATAATAAGAGTAAAAGGTAGCAAAACTAGACCTCAGCAAACCCAGACCACTATCTTCCAGTCTGGCTTGTAAATGAGATCGTAGTTGTGCCCCGCTAAAACTTCAGATGAATGTATTCCCTACAAAAGAGAAGTTCAATTCTCTACTATACTTAAACTCCGAATAAGTTAACGAAATGAAAATGGGAGTCTATGGTGCAAGGTCCTATACTTACTGTGAGTGCATCGCCCATGCTTATTGCTTCCAGTAAGTCTCTAGCGACATGTTCTGATGGGGGCATTGAGTTCAATGCGAGTGCCAAATGAGTATTTTGAGTTCAATATGAGAAATCATCTCCTTAAAAATCAACATATCAAGCAGACATTCGAAGAACAAATGCCATCCCCTGCTGACAATCCAGTTCTTCTCCTATCCCAAATTGGACTGTGTACTTCATCCCTGTATCAGCTCTGATACTGTAGCCAATCCACCACACATCATTACACCTTATGATAGACATTATGTACAGACAGGAAGACATCACCGCTGCTTTCGAAGAACTAATTCTCCTATACCCAACTGCTTTCACATTAAGCAAGAAACAATAAAACATCAGCACAATAAAACAATAAAACATCAGTTGTATTAAGCTATCTTATAGGAGCCTCATTTAGACTTCTCTCGGCTATAGCAGCCGCATTTAGGAGATAGGAACAAGGACTTGTACATTCACACTGTTTTGTAGTGGTTTTGCTGCGTTATTAGATTGCTTAGAAGTGAATTTTTTATCTGTTTTATCAAAGTAGCAGAGGATTGGGTCAAATGATACCTGTAGAACCGAGAAGATGACTGAAAGAATGTAACTGTGAAGCACCATGGGAACATAGACTGTTCCAACCATTGTGTCTATGAATCCCAATGTCAAGGGAAGCCTCTGTTAATAAGATAAAACATCAGTAAAACCCGTCATTAAGAATTTTATTGCTCCATAGGAGGATTAATTAGTAAAAAGTGCCTCCTTGGAAAACATATGTAGAAGCTGCTCCTTGGGGCCTCTTAGAGGGAAAAACAAACCAACTATGAAAGCACATCTAAAGCAAGTTGCATCCAACTCATACTAAGCTTCCAGTTGTGGCATTTAGTCTATATACCATTAGATAAATCATGATGAATTCGAAAGTAAGCAGCAAAAGAACTGGAACCTCAGAATCCCACAGTTACTCCTGCATTTTCATCCCTGAATTAGGGCTAATAAGAGTATGCAGATCAACGGGTAGTGAACGATCCAAAACATGCCAGAATTCAACATTATTCAGAGAAAACGATTCGGTTGAATTAAGAAGAATAATTGGTACAAGAATGGAGGGGAGAGAGCGATACCAGTCAATCTGAGGATAGAGGCTCCATTGGAGACGGCAATACCAAAAGAGGGAAAGATGCAAGGAGAGGCCCTAATGAAAGCTCGAGCCCAGCAACTAGCATCCATCCTCTTAGGATTGAACACAACAAGAGACTTGGCTTCACTGTGGCTACCAATAATGTCTGCTCTTCTAGCAATAGATCTCTGCTTCTTCGTTTTCTTTCTCTAAAGAATCCATGACCGAGAGGAAACCTAGAGTGAGAATACTTCCCCCACGACCTCTGACTCCCCTGCCAGATCTCCCTTGCGCCGCCGCGTTGAAGAATACGATCCAATCCGTCGTCAACTATCATCCGACTTCGATTAGATCCCAATTCCCTAGAAAAGGTATCGCAAATTCAAGATCGAAAACTGAATCCGACTCATCTACCGCTTAGAATAGGAATGATTTTAGGTTTGCATTTAACCTTGGAGCAGGTAGGTTTGCAGAGGTAAGTGATGGTAAAGCCGGCTGCGGGAGCGGCGGTAGGACGACGGCGCAAGGACGAGGCAAGTGGACGAAACAGATAGCGTTGGAGATTCACCATCTTAGATTTGGTTATGCGCAGACAGAAGGAAGCCTCAACGAGGAGACTGACTAGCGGTGGTAGAAAGGAGGAGAGCAGATGTTTGGCCTTAGAGATTCATCGATTCACCGTCGTCCATTTTGCTGGAGTTTTGAATCAGAATCGGAACAAACATTTAGGTCTAGAAAAACAGAGAGAAAGAGAAACAGGAGACCTCTGTCGGTCAGGGAAGTGAGAAATGAAAAGTGAGCAGTGAGCTATAAAAAGTTAAAATAAAGATAATAACCAATAAAATTGGTTGGAATTCATATTTCAGTATCCATTATCCAGTACCGTTGAGTTAGTAACCAATTTAGTATTTTTAGGTGACCAAAAATTTTAGCGGCATTAACAGAGTAGGAAATAACAATAAGAATTTTTGGTTACCAAAAATATTTCATTGTTTTGTAACCAATACTATTGGTCATGTAAGTTTTAATTTGGCTGTAAATAAGTTTGATTTAGTTAGTAACCAATTCATTAAAAAATTCACTACCAAAATATAATTAGTTACATATAGTATGTCTTTGGCAACCAAAACAAAAATAGTTGCATGAAAATGGTTACAAAATGCAGTTTTTGTTGTAGTGAATCAACTCTTGATCACTACGTTTCTTTGTCAATGTAGGATAATATTCATAGGCCGATAGACAATCACTTGGTTGTGGTTAGATCAATGATTCAAGTTGCTAAGAGTGGATTTATGCCTTTGTTCAAAACTACATATGGGTACTTGTACAATAAGGTCAACTTTATTCCACTAGAGATTACGATAGATACCTAATTAGATTAAATGATCAATATTATCTAATATTGGTCAAGTTATCCGGAAGGGAGAATCTAGTTAAAGAACGGGCAACACCTACTCTACCTTAGCGTTTTTCCTTCTCCAAATCTATTCAATTTGATTTGAGGGTTTAATATGAGAAGGGCACCACCATTCAACATTTCAACCAATAAATGTCTCATATCACTAAGATTACCTAGTCCAGACATATTTCATCGAACGAACAAAAACCCTAACAATATGATTTGACATTTAATACACTCGGATTCATACTCTTCAACCGACCTGATATCTCCCAAAAGGGTTTTCACTTCAAATTCAATCGATGTTGAACTTTAAATCTTTAATAGATAATTTTCAATATGATTTGACATTATCAGATAATTTTCCACGAACTTTAATAGTCATAAATCACGATTCTATCTTTGACTATTAGGGTTCGCGCTTAAAAACGAGCCCATCATCTATCACAGTGTAATCAACATTTAGAAATTACTCAGCGATACATAAAATCCAACTCACTACACATTCAATTCTCGAAAAAGAAAACTCAGACAAAGTGAAAAATCATCCTCAACAACACACATTCAATTTGGGTCGAAAACTCCATGAAAACAAATTAAACAAACCCCCGTCCCCAATCAACGTACGAAAAGAATCGATGATCAAATCACATTTCCAAACTCCCCCCGCCGGCAAAAAACCCTCGCCGGCCGGTCAGGCGTGGTGAGCAAGTGCCACCGAGAGATCAACGAAAATGCCGAAGAGCAAGATACAAAGTCCGGTGAAGTTGATGAGCCGGGACTCGGCGTGCCCACGGAGGTTGAGAAGCGTCTCTCGCTGCATGAGCCCCGTCAGCGCCGCCGCGACGGCCATGTACAGAAGCGCCCTGCCGAAGCTGACGTGCCACGGCATCATTCTGGACCTCGTGCCCAGGCTGGGCTTGGGGAACATGTAGGTGAAAAAGCCCAACAGCCATTGGAGGCCCAATATGATGAAGGTGGTGAGCCCAATCCAAGAATGGAGGCTGAACATGTCTTCCGCGCCTATCATGTCGTGGAACCTGAACACCGCGGCTATTCCGACGATGCCGAGAGCTATTCCGATTAAGTGTAACACCATGTGTACGGCCTTCTGTGCTTCTTTGGCTGCTGGGACGGACTTGTACGCCATCATCGCTGCGTAGGGGGAACAAAATTTTGTAAGAAATTGGGATAACGATTGAACCACTCACAATTCATTCAACTAAAACTCGAATTTTACCCAAATTCATAAGGTTGACTAGACAGGACCGTGCAAAACACTTTGGTTCACACCGAACTAAATCGAATCTCGTTGGTCACTGGACTGTAAGTGTAATTTGATTTTTTTTAACTCCATGAATTTTGTTAATAATTAATGAAAAAGCGAACCGAATCAAATGAAATACGATTTCATTACCGTTCTAATTATAAGCAATTTATTTTCTAACTTGGTGCCAATTTTGATTCGGGTTGGTTCTGGACTGCATCAAAATTATTGTCCCTAGTTGGAGCCCTGGAGGGGCATAATTTAGTATCTAAACATTTTTGTTCTTTGCAATTTAGCACATACCAACAATTACAAAATATTTTTTTTTCCTTCAAAATTACATGAACATGTAAGTCTTATATTAACTTGCACCGAAACTAAATTAAATTTTTATTATGTCTATTTCGGTATCAACTATAAAATATTACATCCATGATACCCCCATCGTTTCGCTATATAAAAAAAACTAATCTACATCTATCATTTACAATCCAGTACCTGAACTCTTAAAACTTTACCACCCCGGCCCCGGGCGAATAACGTGTTACTTTTCAAGCACATCAAATTAACAAGAGTATGTCCTTAACACCAACAACAACAAATTCTAACCACTTGCCACCTCTCAAAATTCGTGACTACATTTTGTCAACCAGACAGACTGTACAATTGTTCAATTAGGATGGTGACTGACCATTAAGTTTCAAGTACTCAGGAGGAGTTATACCTTGACCAACGAGGAAGATGAAGCCGCAGAACATGAGGAATGGATGAACCTGCAGCAGCGAGTCGATCGACAGTAAGCATAGAGATCGAGGAAGTTGATGAACACACGAACACGGCAAATAAACACATTAATTAATGGAAGGTTTTAATTTGGTTATAGATAAATAAGTGCGTTACGTTGAAGACGCGGGCCGGGTTGTCGGAGTCGTACTCAATGCCGCCGCGGTAGTGCAGCAACCATATCAGCATCAGAACAATTGCCAGGACGCCGAACAGGTGAGCTCCGATCGTCAGCCTCGACGCCGATCGCCTGTAAACCACCACCTCGTCCATTTCCTTCGAATAGATTATTAGAGTAATTAATTGACACTTGCGCTGCTAATTATAAGGAGTGTTGACTGAAGAATAATGGAGATGGAGGTGCAGAGAAGGGCAGACTGCTAGCAGGTGGGAGCTATATGGAGAGGATGTTATGTGTCAGCTGGGTGGTTGTTGTAAAGGGAGCTTATCAATTGATTGGGCAGGAATCTGTCTAATGCAAAACTAAAGCAAAAAGGGTTAAGAGAATAGGGATTGCTTGCCGCTGTTGGTTTAGCATCTGTTTTCCATTTTTCAGTTTTGATTCCTCATCAAAGCTTTACGGTGGAAGCATTTGTATCTTCCTTAATCAGTCGACGATACTTAATATACTTTAGCAAAAACTAGGTAGGGAGTATCTGTGAATAGGGATGGCAATTTTGCCCATACCCATGGGTGTTTTACTATCCAATCCAATTTGGTTGGGTATGAAATCCAAATAGATGGATATGGGTAGAGTTTGAAGGGTTTGTACCCATACCCATTTACTTTGGGTTGGGTTGGGTTTATAACAAATGGATTTGGGTTTGTACCCATGCCCAAATACAAATTACAGTCGGTACCTAAACTTAATAGATATGCATATTTAGTACCTAAAATTTTTTGGTCTTACATTTTGGTACCTAAAATTTTCAAGTTTTACAAATAGGTCCAATTTTTGCATGTGTAGTTAAAACACTCTCAAGTAAATGGATATCCATATCCAACCAGTGGCGGACCCAAAAAATTTTCATAGGGGTGTCCTCTTTTAAAAAATAAATTAAATAAAAATAAAATTGTAAATATGAAAATACCTTACTCGTACATGTTAAAAAAGTCCATGATGTGTTTTCATATTCGAAAATAATTGTAGAATACACTTGGGGTCTATAGTGTCAGAAAAATTGTCTTTATATACACTACTAGACAATCATTCACGAACTTATCGCATATTCGATTTGTAAACTTGTTCTTGATGTAACCCAAAGCTGAAAGACTCTTTCAACACTTGTCGTACAATCATAAAATCAATACAAATTAAGGGTAGTTTGAAATTAGTTTAATTGTTAGGTTTTTAAAATAATTAGAGATAGGGAATGTCATTTTACTATTACACATTGTTCAAAATCGAACAACAAATGAGTTTAGCTCAACGAAAATTAAGTTTATTAATAATAATAATAGTGTTCTAGATTTGAATTATCCAAACTACCACTTATATTCCTATACACAAATGACAGTAGAATAATCATTTTTTCAAATTTAAGGGGTGTCCCTCACTATCAATTATATATTTTTTTTTAAGTGAAAAACTCTCCAGGGACGGCTAGTGAGAGAGTAGTGAGAGAATTCTCCCAGTTTCTTGGCTAGCTAGGGTTCCGACGCGGGCCTAGCTGGTCGCGCCGGCATCTGCGCCGGTGCGTTTTTCTTGCTTCGAGACCAATGGATGCTGTTGTAAGTGGTGTGGAGAATGAGGGCGTTCCGGTCAAGCCTTGGGCAGCGCTTTTTGGCATTGCTGAGGCTAACCGGCTGGAATACATTCCGCCGGAGCTGTTCAAAGGAGGGATTCGAATGCCGCAGGTGGTGAGTGATGAAGGTGCAGCTCGATGGAAGCACAGCTTGGTTGGGCAGTTCCTCCATTCTTCTCTACCTCCTCTTCTGGAGCTACGACGATGGGCGAACAGGCTCTGGGGGAGGGACGGTTTGGTTCGAGTTTCTTTGCTCGGTAATCAATTGATTCTTCTTCAATTTCCATCCCAGGAAACGTGTGATTGGATCTTGGAGAGTGGGCCTTGGTTCCATTCAGATAATATGTTATACCTTCGACCTTGGACCCCGGGGATTGACGTTGAGGATTTGGGGAACAAGGCTCTGCCGATTTGTGTAAGATTTACCAACGTCCCTTTGGAGTATGTGAATTTTCAGGGTATGAGTAGGTTGGGGAGTTTCCTTGGGATCCCATTGGGAGTAGATCATACGACAAGGATGGGTGGCAGGCTAGGATGTGCGAAAGCTCTTGTGGAATTGAAGGCTACAGCTCAATTTCCGGACAATATTCTGATATGGCCAACTGAGAATCGCTCAATTAAGGTGGGGGTTACATACAGCCACTTGCCGCCTGTGTGTGATCATTGCCAATCATTTGGGCAGAAATGTGGTTGTAGCAAAAGGGAACAAGTTGTGAAGGCAAAAGGGGCTCAAGGAAACAATGTGGTTGAGCGTGTCTGGGTGAAGAAGACAATGGTTACTAACAGTACTCCTATCCAGGTTGATGTCCCAACAGGACAGGATAAAGGAAAAGAAGTGGTTGCAGATGATATGGAATTGAGCACTAATCTCATGGTTGGGACTAATTGTGTGGGTATAAATTTAGAGCATTCGTTTCAGGCAGTAGCAGGTTGTAGTTCACCAGTACTTCCCACGGAGGATGAATTTCAGAAGGTGGTGAATGGAGCTAGGCCACGATGCTGGTCTCCCCTTCCTAGTCCTACTAGTGTTTTGCAAACTAATCAATCATTTGCCGCTTTGCAAGGACTAGGGGATAAGGAGATTACACAATTGCAAGCTGCTCCAAAGAAGGGTGGTAGGAAGGGTGGGGGTTCTCTATCCTCCCCAGGATGAAGATTCTTTTCTGGAATGTTAGAGGGTTTAATAAACCCTCTAAGAGAAGGGACTTCTCACAAGTCCTATGTAGACATAAGGTAGATGTGGTGGCCATTCTAGAAACAAGGGTTAGGAAAGCAAAGTCAAATAAAACGGTGGAGGATTTTTGTATAGGATGGAAGAAATTCCTTAATTACAGAGACAGTGATCTAGGCAGGATTTGGTTATTCTGGAACTCGGATATTGAATTTAGGGTACTTGCTGCCAGGAAGAACTATGTGCACTGTTTGGCTAAAGAAGTGGGTGGAGCTAGTTGTTTTATCACAGCCGTTTATGCTTCTAATGAAGAGACAGAGAGGAGGGATACCTACAAAGACTTATCTCGATTCAAGTTATCCACAGTCCCATGGATTGTAGGGGGGATTTTAACTCTGTTTTGTCACCATTGGAAACCTCCAATATGACCATGATGACTAGCTGTATGATGGAATTCAAGAGTTGGGTGGATACAATGGAGTTGGTTGATCACAGATCAAGTGGGCCATTCTTTACATGGACGAATAGACAACAGGAGAACCCAATTGCCAGGAAGCTTGATCGAGCATTGGTGAATGAGGCGTGGTTTGATTGTTTCCCTTACTGTAGTATTGAGGTTCTGGTGGGTACTTTCTCAGATCACTGTGGGGTATGTGTTCATACACAACCAGAGCAGAAAACCCTCCCAAAGCCCTTTAGATACTTTGAGTTGTGGGCTGACCATCCTGATTTCTACCACATAGTTGAAGAAGGATGGGCAACAACTGCTCAGGGAGACCTATTCCAGAAAATAAAGATCAAACTGAATGCAGTCAAGCAGGGTTTGAAGAGGTTGAATAAAGAAGTCTATAATGACATCAGTGGACAGGTCAGGAGTACGGAAAGGCAATTACTTGCTGCACAAGAAAGTGCTCTCTCTGATCCATCTGGTGCTCTTTTTGCTGTGGTTGCGGATCTAAATTCTAAGCTGGGACAACTTAAAAAGGATGAGGAAAGTTTTTACTGGCAGAAGGCTCGGGTTAACCATCTGAAGCTGGGGGATCAAAGTACCAGGTTTTTCCATCAGTCAGTTAAAATAAAGACTGCTAAAAAGGCAATAAGGAAGTTAGTGCTTGATGGGGGTGAGGAGATAGTGGAAATGGAGGATATTGCTGCTGAGGCAGTAAGGTTTTATAAGAGCCTATTTGGGTTTGTTGACCCCGAGGTACACCCTGACAAGCAGTTTCTTGAGGGTCTGGTGTTACATAGATTAAGTGAGGAGCAGAAGGTCTTCCTTTGTCAGACATTTACTGCAGATGATGTGAGACAGGTTGTTGCTGGTATGAGTACTCACAGAGCCCCAGGCCCTGATGGTTTCTCAGCAGGGTTTTACAAGAGGACATGGGGGATTGTGGGAGCAGACATTACTTCTGGGATCTTGGAATTCTTTTCTACAGGTAAGCTCCCTAGTAGTATTAATTCGACTGCTGTGTCATTAATACCTAAAGTTGCCTCTGCTTGTAGATTGAAAGAGTTTAGGCCAATCTCTTGTGTGAACATAATATACAAAATTATTGCAAAACTGCTTGCAAATAGATTGAAAAAGGTCCTGGCTACTGTTGTTAGTGGGAATCAGTCTGCTTTTATTGAGGGAAGAAGGATTGTTGATAATATTTTAATGGCCCAGGAGCTAGTTAGTGGATATCACAAGATTACTCTATCTTCTAGATGTGCCATCAAGGTAGATTTAATGAAAGCTTTTGATTCGGTTCATTGGGGATACTTATTCCTAATGATGGAAGTAATGGGTTTCCCTTCAAGATTCATCTATTGGATCAGGTTGTGCATTAAAACAGCAAAATTCAGTATATGTATTAATGGTGGGCTGTGTGGGTTTTTTGGAGCACAGAGGGGGGTGAGGCAGGGTGATCCCCTCTCACCCTACCTGTTTACAATCGCTATGGAAGGGCTTTCTCTTCTTTTGAATCGAGCTGCTGCAGAGGGTTCTTTGCCCTTTCATCCACAATGTAAGAGAGTTGGCCTAACACACTTGTGTTTTGGTGACGATCTACTCATCTTCACAGAAGGATCAGGTCAAGCTATACATAGAGTTCAGGGGATTTTGAAAGAGTTCCATTCCATTTCAGGGCTGAAGTGTAATCCAAGTAAATGTGAAGTTTACTTTGGTGGGAAGTCAGTACTGTTCAAACAGGCAGCACTACAGATTTCAGGGTTTGCTGAAGGAGGCTTACCTGTCCGATACTTAGGGGTTCCCCTTCTGTCTGGTAAGCTGCCTTCTAGTGAGACAGACAAACTAGTGGCTATCATCACGAAGAAAATCCAGTCTTGGAGGGCGAAAAAGCTCAGCTATGCTGGGAGGTTGCAACTGATTTCCTCAGTACTGATGGGGACGTTACAATACTGGATGCAAATATTCATCTTACCTAAGAAAGTTATCAAGCAAGTTCAAATGTTGTGCTCTAGGTTTCT